AATTAACGTTTACTTGGCCGGGTTATTTTAGTTTAAAGTTTCTACTCGCGATGGTAAATTTTCTGCGGCAGCATGCACGTACAAAAACAGAACATGTGAAACTAAAAATTCGTATTGTGTACCCAGTACCTATACCAACTATACCTATCTGTATGCAAGACGGAGTCCACGTCATGGATACGCATCTTGCACACACATGTGTAACACACTGTAGGTATTTTCGAGATTTATACCGGTTTTTTGTTGTGCGTCATTTATCAAATTTTTCATTTTATACGTTTGTTTATTTATATTTTGTAAAAAAAGAATTGCATTATGAAATGGCGTATTTTTTTCGTATTCTATTTACGTTTGATAGGTAGGTCGGTAGGTAAGTAGGTTGGTAGGTGGGTAGGTACCTACATCATTTGAGAAAATCTCGCGGGTTTTACGCAAAAATATTATACATGTATTTTATATTTTATATAAAGACCATCTAAATTATAATTTCGCATTTTTGGATGTATGAGAAGGCATTCAATCATTTTTAATTTGTCTGATTGCCGACTAGGCTATCTACAATGCATTAGACCGTTCGGTCTTTAAATTGGTCCGCTGTCTGGTCATCATATTATACTGCCACTAATATTTATCGGGTTGATCAGGTGCAAAACCGTTTTATGAGCTTTGCTGGTTTTCGTCTCAATATTCCTCACCCGATACATGATTACAGACCTATTAGACAAGTTCTTAAACTCAATTCACTCTCATCTAGGCGCGATAAATTTGTTATCAATTTCATTCGAGGACAAGTTGAGAGACGAATCGATGCCCTGAATCTACTTGATTTTCATATTCCTAGTACTAATAGACTTCAGGGTTCTTTTATCCTCCTAACCATAAAATGGTAACAATCTTAATCCGAGTCCTCGCATCGAATATATTTGTTGTAAGGCTTTTAAAACTCTGAGGTTTGTCAGTTCCCCCAGTATGTTCCCTTTGCCACCACCAACTATCTTAAAAATGAACCTTTCGGACGTATGTTGATCCTTCGTTTTTTTTGAATCTTTTGAAAAATCTATCTAGTTAAGTAGTAATAAGGAGTAAATACTAAGTATTAAGCTTTAAGTAATAAATTATAAAAATTAATGTGTATATGTATAATGTATTTATATATTCAAAAGGGTTATCTCGTATATTTAATAAAAATACAATAAAAAATTCTCCAATGTCAAAAATGATACGCCATGCAAACTTTTTTTATATCTATTAGTATATATTTTTTTTTACTTCTACTAAAACTAATTATGTTGAACTTATGTTAATGAACTGCTATTTTTTTTTTTTTTTTACGTTATGTGTTATTAAAAATATATATTGTAATATTATACTACTTGGATAGGTTAAACGGCGATACGTCGCTTCTCAGGAATATTATAAAATTCGTAAGTGACATGACGAATCGAGTCTACATTATGACGCTTAGTATTTCTACATAATTTTTTTTTTTCATATTATCAAGAAAAAAAAACTTATGTGTATATTTTCTATTATGAAAAAAAACTATCTTGTCTGTTTCTCTCGCGCACTTTTTATGTTAGTTTAAAATAACATGCATTGCATCGTGTGAAACCGGTCGTATTCCTGGTCTATATACAATATATTAATTGTTGTGTTTATGCGAAATATATTTTCACACACGCTTTTGATGCAAAATTTCTTAAAATCAGTAACGTCACAATTACAACAATTTTAATAATAGTCACGGGCAATCGGGCTCCATGAACAATATTAAAAACAATGCAAATGCATAACATTATACGACCCACGGAAGGGGGGGGTAATTTACCTTTCACCCCTTCCACCTTCCATAGGTAAGCCGCTGGGAATTTCGTTGATATTAAACTGTGGCAAAAAAAAATTTAACATCATACTAAAGTTAATGTTACTACCAAAATATAGTCATCACGCCCGATGGAGTATTCGATGAAATGGCTAAGAAGCTGAGAAAAATTGACTTAGTGTTATAATGAAAACATAACTTATTCTCACAATTTTGATGTTTAACTCAATGTAATTTTTTATAACGATATCTATACTGTAAAACGCCTATTTATGTAACTGGACTCCCCCCTCTCCCATAGAAAATTCCTAGCTATATCCCTGGATACGGTAAACGAAAATGTATTAAATTGGTAAGGTAAATCCAAATGTATTTTTACATAATATACTAAATCTATCGGTTCCTTTACTTGCGATACTATTAGCGGTATTAGTACTTAGACGTCGGAAGTTATATTTTTTTGGATTATATGACAACAGTTTTTAATATTAGTTAAATAATAATGTTCTTTTCTATTTGACAGTTTTAAAATTGTTTTTATATTGTCTGTACACTTACCCGTGTACTCTAAAAACTTCAATCGACTATGTGAGTCGTTACTCAATAAACTCGGTTTTGTGTGTGACGACGAGGAACACGTCGCCATACGGACCTATAATAACAGTACGTACAGACGTACAATCGATCATCTTTTCGGTTAATAATAATAATGGTAGTAATTGTAGTGTATACCTAATAAGTGTATTAAATACATTGCCGCAGTTTACGTGTAATATAGCCTACACCTTAGATCACACAAAATTCATGTTGTACATGGTCTATGACCAACACACGCATTCAGTTCAGATAACGGTTCAATATGTTTTATTCGGTTTATCGGCGCAAAGCAGTCACTCGGCGCGGGCCAAAACACTGCGTTGAAAATCTGCCAGAACTGCACAATTTTCTCGGTTTATCGCACAGACGTGACGTCACGCGTGATAAACTGACCAGTAAAACCGACCGTGTGCGGGCCCCCTTAATGTTAAATTTGTGTTCGCCGCAGTTTACGTATTGTTGACGACTTTGAAAACAAAAAATGGAAATTTCGTAAACCGGTCGGCACCACCGGCGCCCGGCCCCGGAGATTTTTCGGGCGTCTCTGCGCCGCGATCGTCGCTTTCCGTGCTTACAATAACAATGACGAAATCGGCCGCGCGTTGTCGACGGTAAAAATAACAACATGCGGCGGCGGCGGCGAAATGTTTTTGTTGTTATTGTTATTGTTATTATTATTTTTTTTTTCGTTTTTTTTTTTTTTTTAACGAGCGATCGCCACGGCCGACTACTACGCACGAAATAACATTACGAATGTTGTCACGTTAAAACACNGACTTTGAAAACAAAAAATGGAAATTTCGTAAACCGGTCGGCACCACCGGCGCCCGGCCCCGGAGATTTTGGCGCGGGTCTCTGCGCCGCGATCGTCGCTTTCCGTGCTTACAATAACAATGACGAAATCGCCCGCGCGTTGTCGACGGTAAAAATAACAATATGCGGCGGGGCGGCGAAATGTTGTTGTTGTCATTGTTATTGTTATTGTTATTATTTTTTATTTTTTTTTTTTTTTAACGAGCGATCGCCGCGGCCGACTACTACGCACGAAATAACATTACGAATGTTGTTACGTTAAAACACGCCGGAACAGCGACAACAATAACGGTTTCGTAAAATGTTCGCCTAACGACGATATAATAATTAACGCGATGAATTCGACTGTAATATTCGCGGGACCGGTGGCGGCGTCGCCGGGCGGGACTCACCTGTTTGATCGGCGGCGCGCAAGCGTCGGCCGGCGGCCGCACCGACTACCGCCGCGATATTAATTTACTGCCGTACGGCGCGCGCGGCGACTGCGACTTCGGCGACGACCGCGACGCCGATACGACGGCGACGGCCAAGTGGACGACGACGACGACGACGACGACGGCGGCGACGGCGGCGAGAACGCCGCGATCCGCAGCGCACGCACAACACGCGCGCCCGTCCGCCCGAACGCACCCGGACGCGATTTCGGTTCAGTCCGCTCTCGTCCGTCGCGCGCGCACTACCGTACCGCACCAGACGCCGTCGGGTCGAACGCTTCCGCGGTTTTCCAGCGGCCGCCGAGCGCCGTTTCACGGTACGCGAGACGATTTTTCCCCGGACCGGACGCGCACCGCCCGTGGCCCGCAGCCGCGTGTGCAATACTCACGTCGTCGCCGCCTGCCCGTTCCGGTAGTCATGTAGGCCAGAAAAAAAAAAAAAAAACAATAATAACAACGGGGAAAAAAAGGTCAGTGCTTTTATTATTTCGTATATTATATTGTTATTACAACATTATACCTAGGTGCTTGGACGGCACACGAAATCAACAGGTCGCGCCCCGATCCCCGTCGTTTCGCGTTTCTTACGGGGCTCATCGCGCATATTTTACCTTCCCGCCCCGCCCCGCCCCCTCCCCAAAAAATAATACACAACACACAACGACTTTGGTCTTTTCTAAGCCGGAAAGTATCCCGTTTTTCCCGATCGGCCGCTGTGCCCGCCGGGTTCGGAATCTGCTCGCAGGCGCTTCACAGGCGAAAATATTGGAGAAGAACCATCCGAAAGAACTAGAGGTTTACCGAATCCCGACGGTTTTCGTACGTTTCGCACGACATTTCTTTGTTGTCAACCATTGCCGTACCACTGTTCATTTCACAACCGTTGCACATCGGAAAACGAGTTTAATTGACCTTTCTCCCTCCCCCACCACCAATCTTTATCGGCATCACGACTAATCCGTCGACTTATTTCGGCGGATCTACTTTTCCCTTATTTCCCTCAATTTCAAACCCGTTTTGGTTTTTGACCGACGACGGTCCCTCGCTCCCGAATCCGATTCCAGACGAACAATTCGAAAACAATATTGCACGTTACCGTCTTGTCGACAACAACGACGGCCGTGTGGAAAATTTCGGGAAAGCAGAGACGACCACTATAGGTGTTTTTCTCGGCGCGCGGTCCGCGGCGGTCTCCCGGGAGTAAACTGTGCGCGCCGCGCGTTACGTACCGCACAGAAACGTTTATCATGTTATCGGTTTATCATTATTATTATTATGTAATAAACGTTTGTATTATTATTGTAATTGCGTTAGGTTAGGTTACCTTACGGTGCAACGGTAGCGTTTTATTGCATTATATTATCATTATTATTTTATACGGCGGTGCACATAATATTATAGAGCGCGAACGTCGCCGCGACGCTCGCCACTCGAAAAACTATATCGTAAATTTCAATTTTGTGCGTTACGATCCGACGCGATCTCGATACACCGACAACAGTAACATCGCTATCTATTCTCGAATAGAGCAGTTTTCTTCCCCTGGCGTTATGGATTTTTCGCGGGCACGACACGTCGCGCATAGAATACCTGCAGGGTCGTCTGTCCTTTCCGTCCGGTTAATTGCAGGCACTTTCAGTTCGATCGGGCCAAAAAACTACCGAACCGTATCGAAGATGTCGTCCGGAGTTGGAGGTATACTATTTGAGCGCTCGATTCATTCCGAAATCGCTTTAATTTCGCAACAATATTAAAGAATAATATTCTCTCCGGTCGTTATCTCCGTGACAATATTCTCATCTCGCGCCACTAGCTACGGCTCATATTAACGCGCTCGGCGCGAAATATTCGTAATGCGCCCCGTTTTTTCGCTCACACAAAAAAAATACCCATTGTTATTTTTTATAGAAAGATTTTTAGTAAAAATTTTTGATACCTAAAAAAAAAAAAAAATTGTTCGAGTTTAGTACAGACGGTCGAAAAATCTGTATCTTTTTAGGCGGTTACCGCGTGAAAAATTCTAAGCGTTTTTAATATTATCGAAAAATCGTTTTCCGAGAAAAATACCCATCCGTCTGGGTAAAACTATTAGGATTCTTCGGTAATGCTAAAGTGAAATTGTTCGTTGTTTAAGTCCATCTAAGTGGTCCGTTTAATACCGAGTGAAATAGCGACAATCGTTTTACCGAGATGTGTTTTATATTCTTTCGAAAAACACTGTTTCGGCAGCGATCCAATTTTTTCGGGTCGTAGGTCAAAAGATGCGGATTTTCCGGTAGACACGGTATTTTATAACTTTATTAAAATTTCTTTAGACTGTCAAATATTTTTTTCTAAAACATTAAAAATTTGATCAATGATACATCGATGTATATATAATACCGATGATTAATATCCATCGATTTTATATTTTTGTTGATTTCTCGGTGATTTTGGATACAAGGGAATAAACAAAACTATGTTGCGATATTTAAAATAATAATACTTTAAATATTATTACTCGAATTTTACCGATCTCCAATCGTTTTTCGATTGCAACTATTTATCTATCGCCGCTTTTAGTAACTGTTCAAAATGACTAGTTTATACATCCAGCACCTTCCAAACTTCCCGCTCACAACAGTACCAATATAATATTACATCCGTCATGATGCGAAACATGTCCAGTATTTTTTAGTTGCCGTTTTGTTTCTATAATATTACGTCCCGGATAGTTTCGTTACCGATACTTGGGCAGGATACTTAGTACCGTTTCAGTTTAACCGATTGGGAAACTCTCCGTGCTCCATGATTAATTATTCAATACTTTTCGTTTTGTATTGTTCCGAAAAAAAGAAAAAACGACGAAATGCAATACATTATCGCGCTTTGGCGTTAAGCGAATACTTATATGAAATATTAGTTTCCGCGAGTTTTGAAGATTTATTTTTCAGTAATTTATTTAGGCATAGATCTTACATTTTTCAAGCGTTTAAAATTTTTCCGAATTAATTATTTATTAAAAAAGAACAAAAACTAAATTATAGAATTTGTTTTTTTTTTTAATGCCCGCTAAAAAGTAATCGGCCGCGTATTTTTCGGTTTTTACCGCCGCCACAACTCTCGTCCAAAATATTAATAATATAATATAAGGGTTCTCGTAGATATAAACGTACAATTTATTTAACGCGAGTTCATAACTTTGGCTCCGGGGAAAAAAGGGCGCTTCAGTCGACTTTGTACATTTTTCAGTACAAGCAAATTGCTTGGCTGAAAACACATTCACTGTATACGTAAAACAGTAGGTATATTAATATAATACACTATACACATACGTCATATATACGCTAAATACGCTGAAAATACGTACACTTATGCGATTTAGAGCGAAAAATAAACTTGACTTAAGCCCATCTTTCCAGGGACCAAATGTATAATAAATTTGCATACAATAATATTATGCATTTTTATTCGCAAACGCGTAACTTTTCTCCGCGTCATAATATCATTCGAGCAACTAAGTTCGCGAGTATTAATATAATCTAAGCACCAGACGACATATCCGTTGGCGTATTTACGGAGAAGGGGTGAGGGAGAGGGTAACTGGGGATTTTAATTCCCCCCTCATTCATCCACAAAATACGTTCCCAATGATTTATTTCCCAAAATATACTTTCCACATAAATACGGTTCCGAACAAATATTTTCCCAAAAAATATAGCCTTCCGAAGTACACGATCTCTATGGTGTTGGCGGGTTCGGTATGTCGGTTAAAACTAAACTGTGTTAATCAATTCTGAAAACAAGTCGTAAACGCGCCACTGTTATTAGAAATTTATTCGTCCGGCGAAAATCGTTTGAAAATATTAACGTCGGGACCCTGCTGTAAAAACATTGCCTACGTACTCATACGGAATTCGAAAAAAAATAAAAACGATTTCACGTATAAATTGAGTGTTGGTGCAGTTTATGATGTAAAAACAATTCTATCATAGATATAGTTTGAGAAGTTTCGGTCGGAAAACATACACGATTCGTACGTATAGCTAAGCGTATCATGTTACGGAAATTTATTCGGTTTTAAATGCTGAGCAGAGCTAGGAGTGTATTGGTTTTACAATGATATTTATTTATTATTATCTGTTTCTTGTGAACGACTTTTATACCAGAAATATCGCTCCGTTTTCAAGTATAGCACATTTTTAATGGGAAATCTGACGTGGGTGGTACTTTGTCGAGATTTTAATTTTTCCAACAGTTTTTCTAATAAATGGTGAAAAACCGTGAAAAAAAAAACGGAAAAATTTACAAAATATATTATTATTTCAAGACGTAAATATTACGGCCTCTCAGAACATGTATAACCGAACTCCGGTCAGAAACGTTTTTCGTCAGCGATGATTAATCTTTGCGTACAGATACGTATTATATTTCCGTTCGATTTGTTGTTTATCGAACAAATCGCCCGTTCGCATTGGCCTCACGATGTCACGGGCAACAAAATACTAATAATTTAAAAAAAAAATGTCTTATAATTATTTCAGTCGAGACATCTCTCCATACATATATATTATTTAAATTTAGTTCGAATCGACGTTCTTTTCGTTTTGTTTGTTCGCGAACGTATCTATTGGATATAATAATTAATATTTTTTTTTTGTTGTTGAAATTATTAAATCATTCCTTAATAGCTTTGAATGATATTATTATTATTATTTTTATTTTATAGCCGTTCCCGCTATTAATATTCTCGTCGACCTCGCGGTCAAAGATTTTCATGCGTATAACGCATATACTTACGCGCGCTTTTCAATCGAAAATTTTTTATGATTTTTATGGCGAAAAAAAATATTTTTTCTCGTTGGCTAAGGACGCGCGCAATAATAATATTATATTATTATAATATAAAACGTATTTTTTACCGACCCGAAATAAAGAGTTTCCTTAATCAAATACGTATAATTTACGCAGTTTGAGTTTAATATTTTTCGATTTCTTGAGTCAAGTAGGTATATACTTTAGTATATTTTACGTATATATATGTAGTTAAGACGGCGAGAACACCGTTTGGTAATATAAAAGAGATTTTTATTATATTTTATTTTTAATATTACGTTTTTCTCATAAACACATTTTTCCGCAACAGTAAAAAGTTCGGGGCTTTAGTTTTAAAAAAAGATATTATTTTCGGATACGAAAGATGAACGCAAATATTTTATATTTTAATATTGTATACCATTTTAAGAGTTTAAACACAACAAATCGTATTAAAAACGACGAATTTCGAAGAGTAAAATGTTGGCACGTTTTTTATCGGGCAAGACCGACCTCTCCTAGAATATATTGAATCGTACTCGCCCGTCGTATGTGTTGGTAATTATTTGTTTTGAGGGAGGAAAATAGATAAGTTCGAAGTATTTATGTTTGTATTTTTTATCGATATGTTTATACTTATATATCATAGAAAATACAAATTGTTTTATAAAAAAAAAAAACTATTATCAACTACGGCCTAACTATCACGCAATGATCCGCGTTATTATACCTAATATTTAGGAAATTGGCTTTATTTTAGTCATTTTAGATCTAAAAGCCTGAGAAAATGGAGAGAATATCGTTTATTTTCAATTTTGACAGCGGATCACGATTTTTTCGACTATGATAGGTATTATACGTTGGAAATACAAATGTTATTCATCCAGGTTTAGGATGTTTATGCAATTAAAATCAACAAAAAGAGATTAAAAACGGTAAAAAAAATTCCTAAAAGATAACTTAAACAAATATTTAAGAGGGCAATAACAGTAGAGGGGCTTAAAAACCTCCCTCTCTAATGATTTTATCTTATTAATTAATTTTTTTTTATTTACAAAAATGATTATTACAAAGTATTTTTTTTCCATATAAATTTGTACGTGTGATTAAAAAAAAAAAACCTACCTTATGTTAAATATTTTTCAGTGTTAGAAAATTGTATTTAATAAGGTTCAAACCGTTAAAAGAGAGATATTAAAACTCTTCTAACGTTTTTGCTTTTTAAATATTTTTAGGTTATTTTTTGACAATTCAAGCGCTTCTTTGCGGATTTTAAGTGCATAAATATACTAACCCTGATTATTATTTTACTGCGAATCGTGCAAAAAAATCATTTGTGCATTTGAAACATAAGGAGAATTGAAAAAAATTAATTCTTATAAATTTTCGTTTAAAACGTCATGTTCGTCGGTAAAAAAAAGGTCGTATCTTTCCTTAAATGGGGATAGATGGTTATATTTTTGGCGGAAAATTCGTATCATTAAAATGTAAATTAAAAACTTGAAATTTTACAAAATTAGAGACAATTTGAAAATCATACCAATCCTCTCTTCAGACGAATGCATAAACAATATTTTTAATTAAAATGTTACGATCTTTGATGTCTCCATATTAGATAATATTCAAAAATATTTCGACAACATTATTGCACAAGTTGAATTTTGTATAGAAATATAAAATGAAATCTTAAAATAGATATTATTTACTAAACGAATAAAAAGTGTATTATATTTTAATATAGTTTTCTGACTTCTCACACCACGCTCGCCGAAGCAATACGAGAGTAATAATCTTTTTGAAGAACGTCTATTACTTATATTAAATTCTTTGCGCATTTACGCCTCCTCCCCCAGCTAGTTATTTTTTCTGAATATGCTCCTGCATTTGTATATTGATAACATAGTAATAATTGTGCAGACTGTAATTTGATCGAACAATACAAATAATAAGGAGGTCTTATTGCGAATTTTCACGCTTGCGAACATTTATCTTAATATAATTTTAAAACACGTGGTTCGATGATTCAAATTGAAAATGACATTCAAATATCGTGTTTTATCATTGAGTACTGATGTTGTGATATATATTTGATGATCATTTGAAATAATGGCCCGATATTAATTTTGAAACAGACTAAACGTGTTTAAAATAGTATTATTATAATCGATCTCGTTAAAACATAGTAAACTGTAGATAAATCACGTAGAAAACAAACATATTATTTTACGAATAAAAATATTTTAGATTTGGTGTGAAGCCTGCAATGTATTGGTTTTTGTTATATGATGTGTATTTTGTATGTGTATGTATTTATAAAAAATGTTTGACAAAAAATCTTGTTCCACACAAAAACTTATAGGAATGTAATAAAAATTAAAATTACGTAGAAAAAAATTCGAAAAAGTGAAATATTTATAAATTGCTAAAAATCGACTAAAACGTTTTGAACATTTTACCACGCCTAAACAAGACAAACTACAAATATTTTTAACTGAATCACAGCGAAAAAATAAAATTTATTATAGTATATTTCGTAAATTTTCCCGTTTTACCTACGTTTTTACCTAAATATTATGAAAACTCTTTGAAAAATCAAAAAATGGCATTCATAAAGTACCGCCCAGATAAAATTTTCTTTCAGTAAAAATGCTACACAATGAAAATTGGAGCGAAATTGTTGATAGAAAAGTTGTTCACAGAACAAAAATAAATAAACATTATTCGAAAACCAATACATTCCCCGCTTCGCTCATAATCTTAAACTACTAACACCTTTGTTATCAGAATAATTTTTGTTAGTAATGTTAAAATATTGCACATGTATAAAAATGAAATTATTCTATATATTATATGGTCCCTTTAAACATTCATCCGAACACAGTGGGATAACATACCCATCAGCAGTATTAGCTTTTTTTTTTTTTCGAATACTCATAAATTATAGGATGATATGTATTATAAGTTGTAATATTATACATTTTACGCATTGCAGTTGATATGTCGTCGCTGAAAATTAGTGCTTAATTTGAAGTTTACAAATTCCATTATAGTTGATTTGTATACGTCACAGTTAAAATCCGAAATCCGTTGCGGCCGTAGCAACGAGGAGCGTTTCTCATTGTTATTATTATTATCATTTTTATTATGTATTAGATATATTCGGTCGAAGTTATCCAACCGAATTGATATAATAAACTACTGGTCGAATTTATTTTTTATTTATTTATTTACGCCGAAGAAGAGGATATCGGAAGAAAATTTATAGTCGGCAGATTGAATTTATCGAGTGTTATTTTTAAATCGCCTGTATTTGTGTGCGTTTTAAGTAGTATGGATTCGAATACTGTGTTTCAGTTAGAACTAATATTTATTGAATTATTTAAACCTTTGGTTAATTCTAGTTTTAACTAGTGAAAATCAGATTTGACAAAAAGGATTTGTGAAAACTAGTTTTGACGGATTTCGGGTTTTAACTGTAACATAATATTATGTACCGATCCGTTTTCTCGAATATTTGTATAGTCGGTTATTGGTCATAGCAGTGCATTAATGGACTCGTGCCTTAGGGCTTAGGTTACCAACTAGATAGAGATAGGAAATAATTGAACATATGGTTATAAGATTTAAACTATAGCTGTATGCCATTTATTTCCACCGATGACCTTTCTCTCCTTCTCTCTCTGGCATCTACTATCAGTAAAATATTTCTTCTTAGGTCTATCGATGTATTATTTTATCGCAAGGTATTTACGTACTTTGTAAACATTATGTGAACGTCATCATCAGCTTCCATCGTCTTTCATAAATATTTTGTCTGCAGTGCTGTCAATACCATCATAATAATATAACGGCCGGACAATAAATGTCAAAAACAAAATATCGCATCATCTTCAAAAACACGAAGTATCGTAACAATATTTCTCGCACTCCGTCGATCGAACAAGGGCGTTTTTTTTTTTATATTTTTATTATATAAACTGCAACGGCCGGCAAAAGCTCTTTCGCTCACGGCACAGTCCATATTATTACATTCTCGTTGGTTCAGCGTAAAAGCGAATTTGACAAAAACGATAAATAAATACTGTAGTAGCGAGGACCGGACGTATTATTTACTTTGAAAAAAAAAAAAACGTACAAACAATTGACAGAGTACAGGGAGAAAATATTGAACATGTGCAATACCTATACGACAATGCGTACAAACTTTATCCTGGGGGAACATAAACCATTCTACACACGAAATAAAACCAGGTCACTTGTTATGTTTTACCCAGTATGCAAGTGTGTTATTGAATAAGTAATCTCGTCGACAGTGTCAATAATAAACTTCGAGTATTAACGCGGTGTCTGTTTGATCAATGTAATTAATGAGTTCGATTTCGTTGACCACAGAAAAATTTGTTTGAATTTGTTTGGGGGATATTTTTTTGTTAAGTTGCATTTTTTCCCTTAGCCTACTACTTGACGTGGTTTTGCGTCAAGGGGATTTATTTTCGATTGAGGGTCCGAAATGAACTCGTGAAGTAATATAATCGATAATATACTTGTTTATTGATATTATGTGCATATCGAGTATAGCATTTGCGGCCTGAACTTAAATTTTTCATGCCGCAAATTCATATTTCAGAATTACCACCACCATCATCTTCTCTCAGTCTCTTTTCACACACACACACACACACACACACACTGTTTCCAAAATGGCTCATGATAAAAATTAAACTAATTTTTATAAAGGTTAATGCGAACATTTTGCCCGTCTGTATTTTATCTTTTCACGCTAAAACCGTAAAATGGAATAAGATATCGATCAAATTTGATTAGGAGATAGCTTGCATTCTGACGAAAAACGTAGGCTACTTTTTGTCTAAAAAATCTGATTCTTAACATTACTACAGTGGTTATGAGTTTTTACATTTTAAAACGCATCAAATTATTATTTTGTTGGTTTATTGGTATATCTTGGTAATATGGATACAAAAATGTATAGGTACCAGTAGGTAGATTAGCCACATTAAACATGTTTTTTCTTCAAATTTTAACAAATACACTATATTAGTGGTTTTCAACCTATGCGTTGCGGCTCAAAAAGGCGTCGTGGTTTAGTAGCGAGGGAACTGTGTACATAGTAAATATAGTACAGTAATACAGTAAATTAATTTTTATACTATTATCATTATTTGTAAGGGAGCCGCTAATTTTGATTTCAAAATCAGAAGAGCCGTGAACCCGAAAATGTTGAAAACCACTGTACTATATATTATAGTTGATATGTATATGGTAAAATTGCACATGTTTGATGACTATTGTGATAGTTGATAATTACCTTAATATTAAAATACTAAATACTCATACTGTTAATATTAAGTGAATAGGTGTCAAAATAACATTCCAACTATCCAAGCCAACCCACCACCCACGGCCTCTTAAAATGTTGACGCAGCTGCGTCAAATTTGAGCCCTTCTGCTCGTCACTATGGTGTAGCATATCGAACGACGGGTTTTCTTTCGTGTGCAGAATGATTTAATGCTATCTGGGGGACTCGTATATATACAATACCACTCACCTCTCACGCTGCTGCCAGAAAATCCCTTCATCCGCCGTGTCTATTTTCGATTCTACACGGTGACGACGACAAGCACGTGTTTTAGTTGGTTATGTGTACATAATATGTACGAGTAAGTCAAAACCGTCGTCGCAAGTCGTTCTATTCGATTAGATTATCTGTCTGCTATACGGGAGAAAATTTGTTCGTTAAAATCCGACAGCTGTGTGTATATAGTTGTCTTGTTCGCGTTAGCGATTGGATCTCAAGAAAAAGAAAAAGCTTTTTGTAATAACATTGCGTTTTTCGCCGTTGGTTGTAATAATAATAATAAATAATATAGGCTTGACTTGTAAAAGATACTTTTTTAAAAATAGTTTGTATTCAACTACAGATGTTGTTATTTTAAAGTGTATTTAAGATATTTATTTTATAACAAATATTATTGAAAAGTATTTATACATATTTTTAATTATCTCATTTTCGTATATTATCCCATTGGGCAACGGGAAAAATCATTAATGTTCATGTTTTTATTTAATAACTTAATAAAAGTTAACATTTTGAATACCTTTAACTACCAATTTTAATGAATGGAAAACATTTTTTATTATTTTTTTTTTTTTTAAACTACTATAAATGAGTGCCACTGTTGTAGATGGAAAGTTGTAAAGGTAGGATTCCCAGAATTATTTAATTTATATGTGTATGCAACGATAAACCATTGCTAACGAAAAACGATTTTAAACGGAACTCGCTAAAGAAATTATTAAAAACAAATTACTACAAAAAACATATGAATTTGTAAATTATATAATATAGCAAAAACAGCAGTACCGCCCAAATTACCCTTTCTACACTAATACCGCAACCATTAATACCACTTTATCACACTTTGATTAAATATTCAAAATGTCTATAAATAACCTAAAAGTTACCAAAATTTAATGAACATTTACACGTTAATAAAATACTGATATAAATATTTTGTAAAAATTTCAGTTTTTTACATTCATTTTTAATCGAATTTCCATTATAGATCGAAAACTGAAATGAAACTGTACAATTCTCTGTGTTCCTACGTTTTCCTGGTTTTCCCACATTATTATAAAAACTGTAAACAAACTACTGCCCCAAAACACTGTTACTACATTCAAAATTTGCCTAATACGAACACAGAACAATAATAATATTTATTCAAATGAATAAAAACGAGCAAATGCCCAATAGCACAGGTATTGGTAATTGTTACAATAAATTAATATAGATGTTTAACAATACAATTTTTAATATTTATAATCTAAAAAATAAATCAAATGAATCAAATATTACATATTGTTAATTAAATATATATTATGGATTGCGACTGATAGAGAAAATAAGAAATTAACATCAGGAGCAAGTTTATCCCACAAAGTCGTAACTCTTGGAATTGAAGAATTTTTTTTAAATAAATTTTGCTGTGTAACGGCAAGTGAACCATTATGAGTGACCCGATTATTATATGTTAGATTGTTAAATGGAATATTTTGTAAAAAAATAAGGTGCATCGATGTGGTTATTAATTGATTTATAAAGAAAAGCTAATATGTCAGCTAAGTCACGTATAGAGGCTAGAATAGGAAGGCTTAGAAGGGATCTTATCGACGTAAAATCGTGTTGGTTTAGCTGAATTTGAATGCTATGAACTTTAACAATTAGTTTTAAACCCCTTCAATAGGGTCAATGTTTTGATGTCAATGATTTAATGCAAAGCTATAGACAGGTGATCCCTACTCAAGGATGGATTTGACTAAAGTGAAATAGAGCTGCTTAAATGATTCCAGATCCTAATGTAGAATTAGGATATTTTTATTTAAATACTATTACTCGAATACAGTCTGAACGCACGGCCGTCACGTATTGCCATTGTTGTGAAAACGACGCGTATTTTTTATCCACCGTCGTTCGTTTTGCCGGCCATTTTAAATCGAGTGTTTCATATTATTATTATTACTATTATTATCATAACTGTTATTATTACTGATATTCCGTTCTTCGCGATCCCCGTATGTCGCCCGTGGTCTTGCAAATTAAATTCCCCCGTAGGCCACGTCCGTTTCTCCGCTCGCCGTCGCGACCCTGCTGCAACTCGGGCATGAGTATGTAATATACACACATAGTAATATCGTCGCTTATATACTGCAACAGTGCGTATCTCGGTTTCTGTAGTTTTTTTACAGGGTGATCGAAAAACATTTTTTAACACAACACTCGTCCAAAACTCTACTATTGACATGACTGAGGTACTATATATATTGTTAATTATCTAGGTATTATGGGCGATTCGACACGTTATAGACGTCATGGTATTGAATATCAAAATCTAGGTAATTTGTATTATCGATTTTGATATGTCATAATTATGATAAGCAGGTGCCCTTAAAAATAATATTTCAGGGAGTGTTTAAGGTTGTATACTTTCATACGCTTATATAACGAAGACGTTTACATACTTTCAATTGTAGGATTACCTACTGATTATTTATTAAAAATGTCAATATTTTATTACATAGTTTTTTCTATCTGTTGCTAAATTTTACTTTTACATGCGCATGATGATAACAGATAAGGTGAGTAAATCACGTCGTGGTTAAACAGATTAGAAGAAAAAATTTAGGCTATTTTGTATTTTTCTAAATAGTTCTAAATAGAGCGGTTAAATAATTATAAATAATATCAACGGTATTTATACAATTGATAATATTGATTAATATTTTTATTTATTTTCAAACAAATAGTTATCGAAAATCGAGTATTGTGGCATAATGCGAGTATCGAGTAACGTCCGTTTTCGGTTTTGATAATACAATAATATTATTATGAGTGGAGTTATTGTTTTCGCGATTTACTACGCAATCACAAGTCTTACAAAAAGCACAAAATTATCGAACAAAAGGTTATCGGAAACACTAATATTTTATTAATATTGATAGAATAATCTCATTTGAACGGTCTAAAAAGCGACGATATTGTACATTTAAGTGGGTACGCACATTATCTTGAAAATTATTAAATTGAAAAATGTTAATACTTTCCGAGATAACGAGTGTACCCACCTAAATGGATCACCTTGTATGCCTGCGCACTGACCCCGTTATACTGTTGCCTTATACTCTCGGACCGCCGAGTCTCGGTTCAGCTCTGTTTCCTGTCAGTTCCGTTAACCCGCGGGAATGATCGCAGCTCTTTATCACGTCTTCGACGATGACGCGACGGGGTGATGACACCGATAATCGAATTTCGTTTTCGACGGCATACGTTTTACGTCGCGGACGACGCGCCGGAAATTCTAATCACAGCGTTTTCGAGAAACTCGGCTACACAGCATAATATAGTAGAAACACGCGTTATTCATACAAGGTGATTTTTTTAATTATTATTATTTTTTTTTAAACTACGATCAGTCGATTATCTGCTAAAATTTTTAGGATAGGAGCGAACTCGATATCGGCGGAAAGATGTGATTATATGGATATCGAAAGAGAAATAGTCATGGTAGGAGGAGGGAAATTTCCCCCCGTTCGACCATATCCGCCACAAGTTAAATAAACCTCGCCACATGGGATCGGTTCCACGCTATTTCGCACTGTCGGCATGTGTGTGAAGTAAATCATTATCATTGTTATCAATATTTTAATATTTATTAGATGATTTCGCGGTACCAAGGTGTGATATTTTTATATCGCGCGGACGAGATAGATCGCATAAAGAAGTAAACGCAAGTCTTTTTTTTTTTTAAAATGCCTATAGGAAAGACAAACAGATAGCCTTTGGGATTACCGTTACCGCTAAAACGTCGTTTACTTCAATAAAATAGATTTCGAGCTCACGCCATCTGTACAACACGACCGAACTCGCCCTCCAGCTTACGTATTAAAATAGACTCGACCGATCGTAACCGTTCTTTTCAGACAGACCTATAAATAAACCTAGTTCTGACCGATCACAATTATTTCGGGTATTATTCGAAAACGTCGTTCGTCTAATGCCTCTGAACAAGACACGAAATACCTATCGTCATAATTGTGCGCACGGGGTGTGCAAGATGTGCAATAGCAAAAAAATCCGCCTGTTTAAAATTTTTGTTTTCGTTGTAAATTAAAATATTATTGCAATTAAAATGTATAATATAATTTATAATTATAATTTTATTAATAGTATACATTTTTTGTTTTCCCAGGAGTGTTCCCAATAAATGTGAAAAATATGGTAAAAACCGTGAAAAAACGGGAAAATAGGCGCAACATTAAACAAATATTATTAAAGAAAATGTTTGATGTATGTGCAGTTGTTTTACCAAAATATGATATAAACATTGTTGACAAAGCAACACTATCAACTGAACTCTGCTCAGAATCGTTTTTTCGTTAGCAGTGGTTAACTCGTTGCTTACAGATACACATTAAATTCCCGTCTATATCATCGTCCATTTCCAACTTCCCACCTACTACAGTGGCTGTACCTGTTCCCATTATCCTAAGACGGCTTTGGATATCTCTATTTTAAACTGATGATAACTATGTGTTTATTATTATTAACCCATAAACGAGATACATAATATAAATTATACATCTATGTATCGGCCACAATACCCACAGAATTGTCAGCTACAGTAAACATCATTCTGATAGCTATAAACATTAAAATATCTTCGTTGTAATACCATGCAGTAGATTGTTTGATTCACGACAAATTATATTTTTCGATAATTCTAGATCGTCAAAACCTATTGAAGAATTATTCGTTTGTTAAAACATCTGGAGACGTTGGAAATCTATAAAGCACTATTTTTTATATTTGCTGTTGAGCGTCTCCGTGCCCTATATTGTTACCGATTACTGACAAATATTAAGCGGGACACGTTAAAATTTGGTTAGGGGTTAGAGGCTCGAGTACTCCTCCACTCTAAAGACTACACCTACTAAATCTATTTCGCACATCTCGCAAAAGAATTCTACGCACGCCTATCGTCGGAACTTCGCGCGCCTCACTCGTAATTGTATCGATCGAACACGATCGTGACGAGTAACTACCCAGGCACGTGTTCAATAGGGAGCGAGGTTTAGATATTTAATGGACCTTTTAAAGTGGTTTTTATCAATGAGAAAGATAAAATACAATTTTGGTTTTATTTCTGTTTTATTACTAGACAGTAGGTATGTATTGTTATTATTACTGATTTTGTGTGGTTTTCCTGCTTTTGGAAAATTAAAACTGATACAAAGATATCGCATTGACTGTCGCGATTATTTGAATCGCACTCTATCATTTAGGCTGTATTCGCTGAAAAAATATTAAATGTAAAATTCTTAGTAATAACTGCGTGGTACCCAAAATTCCAAAAATTAATGTTATAAAATATTGATATTTTTTAAATGAAAAATAAATAATCCTATACAATTGAATGTACGTAAACTTATTTGTTATAAGAGTAGGGAAGTGTACAACCTTAACCCCCCTCACCTCCCAAAATATTTTTTTTTTGTAATCGCACCTGTACGTACTACCTACCTACCCGTGTTGCGCCTTTATCCCGCCCAATACGCGACCGTTTGCGCCCCGCCGGCTGCAGATCCGATCGGCTCGATATCTGTTAATAATTTATACCGTCGTCGTTGATAATATTTCGCGCGACCCGCCGCCGGTTCTCGGCGACTGATACACCCGTCGTTAGCGCGCCCGTCCGAACTTTTTACCGAACATTATCTGCGTCCAAACCAGTGGCGTGTATATTAAAACTAGAGCGCGGATTCCTATGTGAAACAATGTTTTTAATGGATGTATGCACGACCATGAGAGTAAGATTCAAGTCAACGGTTCACAATACAATGAATCTGAATATAACATTTTATTCTGCATATGAGTGCGTATTTTGATGTTCAGAAAATATTTTATTATATATTTATATAAAATCGTATTTTTGCAATTTGACTAAGGTGTAAATTTAAAATAATATTTCTGGAAATTAAAAAAAATGATGTACATTTGAACTGCTGCGATAAGATTTTTCTATTTTATAATAATTTATTATTGGGTACTTTGTACGACAGTTTCAGTGTTACTAAGATTTGATAATTTGCAAATGACAACGAAGTGTGAAAATCATTATTTCACTGTTTATCATAATAGACGAATACGGCAAATGATACACTTGTTAGTCCCGCAACACACGTTTTTCTCCAGCGATTACGAGTTATCGTTTTGTATTCTTAGTCAATTGAAACTAACAAATCATTTTTATTTTTTTACTTTTTGGATGTTGTGTTTTGGTTTACCAGTTTTAATTTAATGAATTCCTGAAACAACGATCTAAAAAAATAAATTTATTATTTATTAAATTTGTTTTGCATACAAGTACATATATTTTGGTGTTAAGAGAACATATTGATTATTAAATAAAACAAATTATTATTATCATATTATTTTATTAATAAAAACGTATTTTTTCATATTTTACTAATATTTTTAGAGAACACTATAAGCATATATTCAAATTTTCAAGAGAATAATATAAGCATTATACTTTGGTTGTTTTAAGAGATTATAAATCTGCGCTATATTTTAACACGCCGGTCTACATGACTAATTATTAGACTTATCGTACTACGCGTTTCCGTTTAGACGGACGGGTAGAAAAAGAAGATGAAAAAAAACCTTCCGATTTATAGACGTCGAAACTGAATAAATCGAATTTTATTTACGCTAGCGCACGTGTTTCACGAGTGTTTTGCATTCGACGCTATGCCGATCTGCATTATTGCGAATCCAAACGACCATTTCTTACGTATAATTTTATCGGAAATTTCGGACGCCTGAGTACATCTACGATGTATTTTATTATAAATCGTCCTAGATAACGCGATATTATTTCTTCTCTGAGGAGTTTCTTTTATGATAATATTATTCGTCGTTTTTGTCGTTTTTATCCTACAAAGGACTACCGAGCGTCTACGGTGGGTTTTCATCAAATTTTCTGCTGCACTCGTGGTATGAGTACTCTAGTATGCAATTGCAGCAGTTGTAGAGTGTCTTACTAAGCATCTCTGCGTGTAAAACACTGAGAAAAAATACAATGTATAAGTATAATAGTACTATGTACCCAACATTATATTGTATGAGGCTTTCGGTACAATAACGGACTTATCCCCATTCCATCATCCTCTGCCGTTCCAGAACTTTTTACCTCCATTCTAAAGAATGCTCTTAAAAATATTTATAATCGTATAATGCAATAATTACGGTTTGGGCGCTTCGGTCTAGTGAATATTAAGTAAACGCGACTAACTGCTCACAACGTTTATGAATTTAATTTTCTCGTCGTGTGCTGTTGGTGCAACCAATTCAAATATTCATAATTTGTTGATTAGTCAGTTATTGAACCGAAGGCCTCGTGTATCTCCGGTGCATGTCTATAAAACGATAGTGTGTTCGAATATAGCGAGTTAAACACGCGCCCTCGAATCGGAGAAAATATATTATTTATATTATCAGAACACTCGAGCCGACGAGAATAATGCGGATCCTCGCGTGTCTATTGTACACAAAGTTGTCTCTTATATTATACTAATACTATTATAATAATATTATTGTCACAGGTCGTTACTGTGTGGCAATAAAACAAATGTCACGTCCCCGGTCCGATACCGACCGCATAAAACCGCAAATGATTATCGCAGGGACGATTGTGGGCGAGCTTCGTTATTCAACAATACAATAATAACTACCGAAAAGGTCACTGTTTAGTTTCACGTAAATAATTGGGTTTGCATTTTACACCGGATAGTGAATATTATTAACAATGGGAATAATGCCGTTTAGAGAATACAGGAAGGTATGCGCGGAAGTGATGGTTCTCTCCCGAAGAACGAAAAATATACTAAAATACGCACATTATATTTTATAACATAACATAATAACGAAGGTAGCTGACAAGTAAATGTATAATATCGATGGTCAAAAGGCTGAACGTTGCAAACGTCATGAATACCGAATTTTTCAGCGGAGCTGTTTTTCAATTTTTTGTGTTCTTAGTGAAGCGGCCATACTAATTATTTTACTTAAATTTGCACTGCTTTTTCCTCTTCGAAAAAAAATTGTTTGGTTAGCAAAACGCTCGGAATAGTTCTCGTGTCGTACCTATTCTAAAAGCACGTATGGATGATCTTCTGTACAGTGGCATAATTTATTTAAAACATATTTCTAATTTTTTTAAAAAATTAAAAAAAAACTGACGGTTATATTTTTATTTATTTCTTGGTTGTAATTGGTACAAGGGTAACAAACACGATTACGATTATTCATCGCTGCTTTCAGTATAAAACTATAAATTACCTACTCTAAAACTATATTCTGAAAAAAGATATTTTTTCTAACTGCTCACTTACAACGGTGGCCTAAAGGTTTTAGATTTTGAATGGAGCAAAGAAGCTTATAGTTTTACAAAGATGTTTATTTTATTTTTATTTATCTTTTCTACCAGACTTGCTTGGATTTCTACGTGTAATTATCTATATAAGTGGCTATATTCGTCTTCATTATCCTAGGACGTCTTTTTTCCTTTTGATTTTAAAATCGCGATTCTATTGCACCAAAATACTTATAGTTCTAGGAATAAAAATAATCGATTTATTAGTTATAGTTCGTTCAAATATTTATTTAGAATTTTAAATGCTGCTTTTATTTATTTTACTTAACCAAAAAAACCTTGTGATTAAGCGATAATTAAATGATATATTTTTTAATTTTCTGTCATAATTCTAGTAATAGGTAACGTGTATAGTAACTTGATGGTTTTGATGGACGTTTTCTAATAAATTATGAATTTCGTTAAAACAATTTTTTTTTTAGAAAAAAAACAAATTTTTGATGGGCATGTTATAAAATCCGTGAGCTTAGTATTTAAATCAACTTTAGAATTTATTTTTCGGTTTTCGTATTATTGTATGCCATATTATTTTTGGACTTGTTACCTATTTTTGTGTTTGAAAAACAAAAAACATATCTAGCTCCAAAAAGAACAAGACTATTTGATTATAAACAAAACAATGTATAATATACATTATATGTATTGGACTCTAATGATATTTGATCCAAACGAAAAGTCAACTCACAGTAGATAACTATTATAATAGACTTAATAATAATTTTGGGAAAATGGAGACGTACAATTTTTGGCTTTTTAGCCATTGGTATAAAGGTCAGGAACGGATGTATTAATTGTTATGTGTTCACCACACATTTTTTGTAGACGTCCACAATAAGAATATCAGTACAGATAAATTAATAATAATTTATAATTATTGTATAATATTATTGGAGTATAAGTACGAGAATCATTTTATTGGTTAAAACGTCATGAGGTTTCTAAATGCGTATAGATCATATATTATTATCTGGAGTTCTACCAATCGGTTTTTTACGATTTCAGAATCAAATTCGGATTTATATTAATTTGCACCTTTTTTTTTTTTAGACAGTCCAAAAATTAGCTAGATAAGCTACAAATTTGAAATATAGTTAATAGAATTGAATTACAAAGTTGTATTTTGCATATTTTACTATTTTTTGACATGTATTGCACATTTCTGTATTGTACGATTTTTCATTGCATATAAATGGTTTTTAAATACTTAATATGTAATATTATGGTTTAAAAATAATTAAAGAAATAATAAAAATAAAATATTTTTTTTTTTAATCGATTTTACCTTGTTTAAAAATAAAAATAGAAATAGTAAAAATTTAAAAAATATTTTGTTTTTTTAAAATCGATATTTTTGTGCGAATGTTTCATTTTAAAGAGTATATTACTACAAAATAAGAGCATAAATTCATATTTTATAGTGCATATTTCTAAGGTATTTAGATCATATATAAATCTGGGCCTTAGTGATTACAAATCCAGATTATGGGTATCAATCTGGAATATTTAGTATTTTAATTTAGCTTAAAATATGGCTGATTATCTCAAATCATAGTGTAGCTACGCGATTTAATATAATATTCGTTTAACTGCCCCAAATTATCACTTTAGATACTGTTCTGTCAACTTAACATTTTTTTAGTAGCTTGTCCATTTTTGTAAAATTAATGGATTGGATCTAAGAATCCAGATAAAAGAAATTGATCGTCAATTCGAGTAACGGAATTATTTAATCTGAATACCGGATCGGTCAACATATTGCTTTGCATTAGCTAAGATGAGTAAAAAATTAGCGTTAAGTTTGACCACTCAAAGAATATAATTTAGGGTAGTTCAAATTTTAATTTTGTACTCTTAATGGGGAAATTGCACTGAATTATTTAGATTCAGAATGGATGTTTCGAAGAATCTATTGATTTCAATACGATTCGTGTTTTTTTTTCTTATTATTATTATTATTATTTTTGGTTTGTGTGAGCAACTTTCCACCAGATATCGTGTTTCAATCAAAAATAGACAGATGTCATTTTTTGTTGAATTTTGGATCTAGATGATGCACCACGGAAGGGTTATTTTTGTTTTTAAAGGGATTTCATAACAACTGGAAGAGATCGGAAAAATACATAACATTAAACTAAAAATTTTACATTTCATTATCACAAATTTTTACTGTTTAAGCTTTTTATATTTATATATTGCTCCTATCGTTGCATTTTGAGTATAGTTTGCGCGTTTGAAAGAAATTGCTCATTGATTTTCCGTGTAGTTTTCCAAATAATTGAGCAAAACTGGGAAAATAATTAGGAAACCGGAAAAGTTTACGTAAATATCGATTTCATTATTTTCAACCATCGGGCTTTTCGCGATTTTCGTACACCTATTTTCAAGTGTTTTTTTTCCCTTCAATCATATTATAATGTCATCGCCGCCGCGCGTTTTTTACGATTCAGAGGCTATAAAATCTTGAAAAGTACGGTTATCAAAAAAATATGTTTTCAGTTAACGGTAACTATATATATATGTAAAAGTATACGAAATATAATAGTAATAATATCATAAAATAAAACCAAGGGCGTGTATTAAATCCGATTACAATGTATACACCTACACGCACACAGCACACACGGATGTGCTTATCGGCGTGCAGCGTATATAACAACGAGTCGTATATGCGTATGACGAGGAGATTTAAAGTGGCACTCGAGAAAAAAAAAATAATAAAACAAAATTAAGAAAACATTTTCAAATCAACGGCAGACTACACACTATAATATTATATATTATAATAATAGAACATAATAGCGCGTATTGGCCGTTTTGTTTGTCGTCGTATTTTTCTCCGACGGTATCATAACATTATAATATAATACCGTTGTTCGTTTTTCGCTAGGTTTTTTCGTCTTACGAAAATTCGTTTTTTTTTTTTCTTCGTCATTTTCTTCCGCGCGTTCCGTTTGTTTTCGAAAATAATAATAATACGGGTACGCCGCCGTATTTGTTTACACAAGACGCGTTTCTCAAGCACAAACATTATGATAGTAAAATGCGTTTATTTTCTCGTAACTGTCACATTAAATTAAACATTATACTATAATATATCGAATATCTGTATTCCGAATTTCATAGCTCCGATTCGATTGGCGGCGCCCTATATCGGTTTATGGCAATAGATATGTGGCCAGCAAGTCACCGGAAGTGCCCCGGAAATTGTTTATTTCAGGACATTCGTATTTTGGGAAATAATATTGTTCCACCCGAACGACTACAATTTTATGTACCTACAGATTCTTTTCGACTATGTTAATGGGGAGTTTACTCCTGTAAAAATAGTTCTGTAAACGTAACCAGATTCTCGATTTACGCATGTGTACAAGGCCTCAAATTCTTTGGGTCCCTTTTTCATCTATACAAAAAAAAAAAAAAAAAAAAAATGTGCCCCCGAAGATATTTTTGGTAAATTTACAAAAAGTAATTAAATAAACAATTATTATAGAACGGAATGCAAATATGTTTTTAGGTTCGGAATGGTATGAGGAATGAATTTGTTTTGCATTGATATTTATTTTATTTTATTTTTTACGTGAATACTATTTCTACCAAAAATCATACTCCGATTTTCAAGTATTACGCCTTTTTTGAAAGAAAATGTTCTCTTGGAGATCATTTTTTGAAATTCTCATTTATATTCAAGATTAAGAGGAAAACCTAGGTCTTTCGGTTAAAAAGATTAAAAGATTAGAAATAAAGTTGTCATTGGCAACCGTCTTTTATTTATTTTTAAGTTTTAATTATATTAATATTTTTAAAAAATCATTTTTGTTATGAAAACGCACATTATTGAAATTATTTTACCATAATATGACTTATACCATATATTGTGTTGTTGACAAAACAACACTATCAACTGAACTTCGCTCAAAATTGTTTTTTTTCTTAGCAATGGTTTATCGTTGCTTACAGATGTACATTAAATTCCGTGTTTATCATACACTTTCAAATATTTTATTAAACTATTTTTTAACTTCCCACCTACAACAGTGGCTGTACCCACGTGCGAAGTATGTCCGTTCTTTTTTTTATTGGATTTATTTTATGTATCATTTTCTATACTCGAACGTATAAGAACTTGAATGACGTGTTCTTCTTTATCACGGGAAAAACTAAATTCTTTATAAATACTAGATTATTAATCAAAGATATTATTATAAAAAAAAAATTAACGTTTGGAGACGATGGTGTTTTTTTTATGCTTTTTTTTAATTTTCATTATTTTTCTTTTATTTTAAAAAAACCTCGTAATAAGTATAGCACACAAGGCATACATTTATTTTAATCAGACCCTGAACGTGACTATTAGTGTTTTAGTAATAGTTGTAAAGTATTGGCACGGATTTGGAGTAATTCGGCCAAGTTCGGCGGGACGACTTCACAGAATATTGCAATAGAAATCGTCCTATTTGACGTTCGCGAGGAGATTTAAAGAGGCACTTGAGAAAATAAAACAATTAAGAATACATTTTTTTTAATCAACAGCAGACTACACACTATGTATAGATTACACAATAATAATAGAACAGAACTGGCGTTTTGTTTATCGACGTATTTTTCTTCGATAACCATAATATTATATAATATCGTTGTTCGTTTTTCCTTTCGTCTTGTGGGAATTCGATTTTTCTTTTCTGCCATTTTTGTCCGTGTTTCATTTAATTTCGAAAGTAATAGTATAGATACGCCTTATTTGTTTGTATAAGACGCCGCGTTTCGTACTCACAATAATATAATATAGATACCCACTGCAAATTATATAATAATATATGCTCCACGGTGCTATACTAAATGGTATACATTTTTTTTTCTGTTTTGGACCTTTCTCTACGGTATTTTTTTCTACATCTCCAATGAGATAAACCTAAAAAAAACTACAGTGGATTCGACAGGTAGGCACGGGAAAAATGAGAATTTGTTAAATTGTTAAAAAACAATAATAATAAAATTGCTTGCACACCGCTAAATCGTTTAACTCGGCATCGTTTATTTATAATAAACGGGTTTTATACGCACACGATTAATTTATATAAATATACCATTTAAATTATATGTATTCTTTTTTAATATAACTAGCCGACATTAAAATTCAGTAATAAGCCAGCGAAATTTTTTTTTCAACTATTTAAACCTAGCTGTTACCTACTTGAACATGAAATCTTTTTTTTGCGAAACTTACAATTTCGCTTATTCTTCGTACTTACCGGGCTTATCGACCACTTTTTCATGTTTATGGTTTTAGTGGGATCCCATAACTTTTTGTTCGGTTACTTATAAAATCAAACGTTATTTGCTATTATACTATAGGCTATCAATATGTGTTTGACAGTGCCGGTTCAGATATTATGGGTACTCTATAGACGTTGGTATTTCCTCTTCCTTTTCCCATCAAGTTGAATTATATTATCGATTTTTCTCGTAACTGTCACCTTCAATTTAATATCTTATATCTATATTCCAAATTTCAAAGCTCTAGCTCGGACGGAAATATTCGCTGTATTAAATTATGGAAATTAATCTTCAACCGGTGAGTCAGTATATAGTGTGTGCTCAAAACTGTGATTTTTTGATACTCGTATTCATAAGAAACTTTTCCACATTGCATAATTGTACAAATACTGCTTCTTTTAGATAATATTAACCTGCCTTAAAAAAACTCCAGTCCTGTAACGTAAATTAATTGTAGGTACGTATTTTGTGTTAATTGATCTAATTGAGGATGGCCAATATCACGACGGATGTCTAAAAGGACAACAAACGGTCCAAGTAATACGCCGTGCGCTCAGATAATATGAAACTGGCCGACCCGACGACGTATCGGTAAATGAGAATTTTATTTTATTATTCGAGGACATTATGGGAACCACACCGGTTGTGTCACCACCGTAGATTTCTCCGGGTCTTATTCATATCCGCAGATTACTCTCTTCCACCCTCGAAGATTTTTTTCCGGTCGTTTTCACGGGTATTAACTCAATCCCTCTACCATTTTTCTTTTCAAATATAATATTAACGTTATAATATAAGACAGTTGCGCTTTTAACACAGTCCGACCAAAACCGGGAATTTTTGTTTGAAAAATATTATTACAACTTGTACTAAAACACGTAAACATCACATTAAATACTGCACCGAACTGCGTATAGTTTTTAATAATATATATACCTGTACTCTTTTTAAACGAACAAAATATATATGAGGGAAACTTGGGTTTTATTTTTGTATACATTTTGCATTATTAATCGTACTTTTTGTACGGGGTCTTTCAAATTTCACGCTACAGTCAAATTGTCCATGCATTACTTATATTTTAAAAAAATTACTAAATAAATAACATATGTTATACAATTTTACGTTATATATACCTGTTTTTGATTTTTAAATAGCAACCATGTATTTTGATGTTGAACTGTTTGATTTCTATCAATCCGTTGACGATATATTCCACTTTTAAGTTAGGGTAGTTGAGAGTAGAAGAGTACTATTCAAATAGCGCCACATGATGCTTCACCCTCAACTAATCTCCTCTTATCTAAACTTAAAATTGGAATATCTCGTCAACGGGATAATTGAAATCAATCAAAAATGTCAACACAAAATATATTTGAACAAATATCCAATCGATTAATGTAATTTATAATATAGGTTGCTACATGAAAATCGAAAATAAAAAACCGTTTAATCACTCTAAAAATGAAGGTGACAAAAATAGATAAAAGATAATGTAATATTTTATAGTTGATTGATTAGTCCAAAAAGTTTTAATCGAAGTCATTTTTTGAAAATTAAATATTTCATAGAAAATTTGACTGTAACTTGAAACCCGAAAGGTTCTGTATATATATGGTAAAAGAAAAATGTCAACAGTTATTTTTCGCACACAAATTATAATTATCGTGAATCAGGAAGATTATAAATTTTTAATAAATGTTTAGAGTGAAACGGAAATATTCAATAAAACGTAGGTATATATGTATATTTTATGTCGAAACAGATTTGAACATTTACTTTTTATTGGTAAACAAAAAAAAAAAATATTGAGTAGATAGTAAAAATGTAGTGGTTTTATATTTTATACGCGTTTAAGTTTCGTTTTTTCGAAAATCGTAAAAACCGAGGAATTTCAGAACACGACTACACGAACTTCGCTCAGAATCGTTTTTCGTTTGCAACGATTTTTCATAAATTAAATTACCCAATGAATCCCACTACCTCTTAAATTATTCCCAGCTATCGTCAGCAGTTTCGACTCTTTATCTTTTTTTTTTTAAATACACAAAAAGTACTAAAAATAATTTCACAATAAAATGTCGAAATTATTTTAGGTTTTAGGAATCATAGACATTTTTGGCAAACTATAAAAACGAGATCTGGACAACTGTGGTATACGTACATAGTCTCTATATAATTATTTTATTATTATTATTATTGTTATTATTATTATTATTATTATTATTATTATTATTATGTTGTCATGCGATCGAATCGTGTATCATTAATTCGCCGCCGAAGGAGATAATAATAATAATACGAACCGGCGGCGGTAGTCGATTTTTTATTATTATTCGCAATAATTGTTATACATTTTATACATTTTAATTGAACAAAACATGCGGTTGAACTGTGGGCCAGAAGCGCAAAATCTCTGGAAAAATAATAGTTAGGTCGTCTATCCGCTGTACATTTGTTCGAAATTAAAATTCTATATAATAATGGACCGCAAGTCGAAATGTATAACAGTCCGACTTTAAGAGGGGGGTGAGTGGGGGAAACGTCAAGCATATTTATTATTTTATATCAATTTCGTTATTTCCGTTTTTGTTGTACCGTGAATAATTTAGTGATTTGTACGGTGTCGGCAAACCTATTTCAAAAAAAAAAAAAAAATGGCTGTATTTCAGGCTGGTGGGTGTGCCACTGCATGTCGAGAGAAGTTAAAAGGAAGAATAAACACAGTAATTTAATTTGTAACATTACGCAACAATAAACTATTGCTAATGAAATATACAGCGCATTGTCAGTCGTATATTTTTCTCTGTTGCAAAAATAACCCAGAAATTGAAAAAAATTGTGAAATTTCTCATCTTATAAGAAAAATACGAGAGAAATCAAACATTGACTTCTTCAATGTACCGACTAAATTAAAAAACGCTATAAGATAGTTTGTATGCAACGTTTGATTGTAGCAATATTTCCAGTCAAAAAGCTGTTTACTGGTAAAAAAAAAAAAAAAAATAGAAAATTACAAAATAGAAACACACATAGTAAAACCAATTAATTACTCGCTTCAGTCAAAATCGAAAAAAAAAAAAAAATTAAAATTATAGTGCCGTCAACTCGGTTTCATTAGTTTTTTGTCAGACACCGAACGAAAGTTGTTTCTACACTATACAGTGCATTCTATATTATATAGCGATAAAAACAAATTTTTTTTTTTTTCCGGAATTACTGCACGTATTGATCCACTTGAGCCGTCAAAGTGCCGATCGAAATTATTGCGCAGGGCGTTGTAAACGAATTTCGATCATAATGTCCGTATACTTGAACGTCGTGTATACACGCGAAATATTAGTGTGATCGATGTCTAACATTATGCGAATATAATATTATTTAAGTACAATAATGATTATTGTTGCACCTACGATAACCGTGTCGATAGAGCTGTTGTAGACCACTTGAATGGTTTCTTGTTAAAATAATATAATCTCTATGTAGCTTATCGAATTTTTTTCATATCGAAACAATATTATGGACGGCGGATTTTGTAATGTTGTAATAACACGAAAAACCAGACCTCGGAATGAACGAGTTCACAGCATGAACCCGCTCGTCCGTTCAAAGTTCAAAATGTGTGAACGAAACATGAATTAAGTTTGTGTTTTCAATGGACTTGAACTTTAACTGGGTCGTTTGTTACGATTGCAATTCCGTTTGTTGCATTGCGAATTTAGGGAAATAATTTAAACAATTTTATTTGTTACATCAACCTAACCACTTAAATTTAAATAACTCTAAGTAAGTAACAACGCAATTTTACAATATTGCTCGTTATACTGGAATGACGAATTTTATTGTGACGCCATTTTGAGATTTTATTTAAATTGTACATAGTTTATTGTTGTATATGTACATGGTAATATAATATTATAATATTTTAATAAAATTGCCGAGACTTTGCAGAGCTAATAAAAACCAATAATTAAATAATATTATCGAAAAAAATGTGTTCTTTTTTTAAGTAAATACAAACTAATAAGTAAGTCCATTAAAACAAATGAACTAGTTCGTATAAATTTAGTTCAATTTTATATCGGTACCTACTTATTACATGTAACCAGCTATCGTGAATGAACTCGTACATAAAATTAACGTCCCGAGATCTGTAACAACCGTATCATTCACTGACTGATTTTATAGTTTTGTTTTATACCACACAACTACGTTACAATTAGATATCCGAGATCTGTATCGGCCGATATTGAGAATATCGGGATTTTCGGGTTTTTTTTATGTCTAATGTTTTTGTGATAAGTGTAAAACCCACATTTCAACCGGTTTCAACCAATATAAAATCGGTCCATTTCGATATTGGCTCACGGTTTTCGATTTAAAATACCGGACATCGCCTAACCGGTAACAAATATCGAGTTATCGAATTATCGGATACCGAAAAACGATTATTTCGGATCATTATTATAATACAGTAGTAATATAATAATAATTATTATTATTATTGACACTGCATCTACGTAAACGTACGATTTTGTCAAGTTGGCGGTTTTAAATACAGATTAAACTTACAGATTTAATATGCACCATAATATAATACACCGATACGGACCGTTAATGAGGTGCCGGTGATTTATAATGGTTTTAATTTTTTCTGTTTTCGTTCTTATTGGATTTTTGTTTTTCTTAGTTAACTGCTATAATATTCGCCCCGATCGTATTATTTTGGTTGCTAATTACGATAATATGGTGGCACGGTATTATTAACACCGTTGCAGTTTTTTTTTCATCCCATTTTATTTATATGTCTGCCTTATTTTTTTTTATATATATATTCACTATACCAAACAATTTTCGCCTACAAGGCGATTATAATTGAACAGCGTACAACTTTATAAATAGCAAACAACAATGTAACTTTATTAAGTTAATTTAGTGAACTGTACGATACCGAATCGTTTATTTCAATATTCTCGCAATGCAAAGTTTGAGCCAACTCCTCCCGCTTTTTTTTTTCAATCAAATTACGCCGTCCGATGTACTTGTAAAATACGTCGTGTAGTTATTTTGTGGTGGATTATCACCGGAACGCAACAAAGGAATTATTAATCCGATCCATCCGACTAATAGTGACGCGCGCGTGTTGTACACAGATTAGAAATGAGAAAAAAAATATCATTAAGCGAACGACGACCATATGGATTATTGCTCACGACATGCATTTTCGGTCCTTTTGTAAATTTCTGAATCCGTAACCAAAGCGTGAGATTTCGCATGGTGACTGTTGATTGCGCTCACCGCATACCGCGCGATATTAAAATCCCGGAATAGTTTTCGTAGTCGTCTCGGTATAATCATACGCCACTGAATATAATAACACAAATATGTACGCCTCCATAAAGGAACGAACTCACAGCGACGATGACGCCAATATTGTCTTAAGACGACCAGCACGTGATGTCTCTGCAGCCATACACCTGCGTGCCCTAGCAAATGTTCAGGGACAACTCGGTGCCGTTAGTTTTAATATTTGTGGGAATTGTCTATAATAAAACTTAAAGATAAAAATACTGCCCATATGGTGAATGGTGATGTCATTTGTAGACGTGGTTTCAATTTTTCAGCGAGATGTAAGCATTTTTAAATACCGTAATATTTCGCGCACTCACTTAAAAGTTTAAAAAAAAAGAGATAACGCAACAACCCGGAACCTCCTTCCCCCAGACAACAATATAATTTCTATAAAATGTCGTCTAAAAAGAGGCACATATTAATACAGATACTATTGAAAAAAATATAATTTTTCAAGACACCACTCAGAAAAAAATAATTGAAATCCGCCACTGAGTGATTTTTAAATTTGATTCAAAGTCGATTCATTTTGATACTAAAACTAACAGCACAGAGTTTTCCCAGCTGAACTAAAATTTGCGTGGTTGTATAACAGAAACAGCAAACGTGGGGATGGCAATCTTTTAAATCGTCGGATTCGCTTAAAACGAGAAAAATCCTTAACTAAAATTACAGGCATTATTCTGCAGTATAGTATCCGAAATCAAACTTGTCGGTGGGCGCAGACCATTTGTATTTTTTTTTTTTAAAGCGTTTGCTTTCCATTAATTTTTATCTTATTATAAATTTCCCGAAAGAATCAATTGAATTTCATATTTTCTCTCGTGTCTTTTATAAAGCATCAATCAGTCAATCAATTTTAACCTATTAAATTAATTTAAACAATTTTTTTTCTTTAGAAAAACATTCATCGTTAAAAAGTTTTGCCGCTTTATTTTAAACGTTTTTTTTTCTTTATTCGTGAAATTTTTTAGTCCTTAACATTTCGTACTAAAGAACGGATAACTACATTTATTGTAAAATATAGTCCTTAAAATAATGATATTTTTAGATTCTTATATGTTGCGTTTGTTTCGGGCACGTGTTATTTATTTTTGGTCTGCGACTTTGTCCTTTTACTCCTTTTTCAGAATATTACAAAGACGATATTATCATATTGGGTTACGAGAAGGTGTCGGGTATTTTTTTTTCATTTTTCGAGTTTATGCCATCACGTAATGTTTACAACAATCAGACTTCGCTCTCAAAGAATAAAACTGCAAACCCGGCGTTAACAGAAATCCCTCATGTAGGTATTTGATTAAATATTTTCTAACTCCAAGCACTAAATTTATCGTCCTAAAAAAATGATTTGCTCATCATTATTTTATCCTTTTATAAGTATTAAATTTGTCGATAACCATGTATGAAATTATACAAAACAAAAATTAGACTTGGTCAATTTTAAATTAAACTATTATTAAATTGCCGACTCAGTACTCAGTATAAATGTTCAAGTTATGATGGTGACACCCCCACCCCATGCGCTACTTTTATATTCAGCCCTACGAGCGTGAAATGAGAGGGAATAATATTCCTACAACCATCCGACCAATATTTGTATTATTGTATTTGGGTATAACTATTTGTATGCAAGCCATGCAATGTTGACGATTTGTAAATTTCAATTCCTATAATTTTATTTACCTACGTGGGTGCTTACATTTGAATCCCGGGAGATTTTGTTTTTCTTAAAGTTGTTTTGAATTGATTATATGGTTTCTTTGTGAATTCAGTTTATCGTCGTGTTTTTCCCCTCACACGTAGTCGTTCAAACGATCAAACGTCATCGTAATTCGATGTTCCTCGTGTAAGTCTTATGGGTACCGTTATAAATTTTTGCCCCATTTGCAAAGTGTTTTTTTGGTGAGTTTATCATCTATTATTGGTATGTACTTCACCCGAAAACATCGAATGTGAACCCGAAATCTGAATACGACCGAAAACGGGTTGAGTGCCCGACGGTTTACGCAATAAAATCACCGATTTGGTTGTGATGTTTATGATTTGGCATATTTTTCAAAGGCGGTTCTAGGTTTCAAATTTCATACGGACACGAATATATATATAAGCTAAAAGTGCAATCAAAATCTTTAATCCACAGAATTTGTTTTTAATTCAACATAAGACACAAATAATAATTTAACAAAAAGAGAGATCTTAGTCACGTAAAATCAAATGAAATCAATACAAACTCGACAATTTGAAACGGTTATAAATAGCTTGTATAAAATATATTTTGAACACTTTACCACGTCTAGAAAATGTAATATATTAGTATTATGTGAAAATGTTAGGTCACCGCAATTATTTCTAATCGAATAACAACGAAAAAACAAAATACATTTTCTCTTTTCTAGAAAATAATATGAGGTGTACCTACACTAGTGGAATCTAATGTAGAAAAAAACATTGGACTTTTTAACAGATACCAAAAATACCAAAAATGTTGGTATGGGTTACCCCTGTACTAGAAAACTCCCGGGGAAATCAAAAAACGACTCGTTCTTAAAGTACCACCCTTTTCAGAAATGTGCTATGATTGAAAATCGGAAAGAAATTTCTGGTAGGAAAGTTGTTCACACTAAAAAAAAAAGAAAAGGAAACATCATTGTAATACCAATGCATCCCTCGTTCCGCTCTGAATCTAATATTATTTATAAACACATTTTTTCAAATGGTGAATCTGGCATTTTTGTACAGCTGAATATATGATAATATTAAACATTTTGATATTATTCTAAAAAAACTGATCACGAAATATTATGTAAATAGTATAAAATATTAATACAAATAAATTTGAATTATTTTCAACCCTCCAAATGAACCTATGTTAAATGTGAATAATTATTAGCGCGTATTAAAATCAATTCGATGTAAAATTCCTGTCTTCCGCTCTCTCTGCATTTCATATTTCGCGGACAGAACTCATACAAAAGGTAAAATTTCATAACTGAATAGTTGTAAATTATTATAGTTAATTTAATACCTGGATCAAACGTACTCATTAAAAACAATTTTTTTTCTCAATTTTGATTTCTATATGTAGGTCCAAACCAGAGGCGGTCAAATTATTCTGTTACAGTAGGGCGAACGATGTTGATTCTTTTCAATAATCACTATTTACATATTTTTTTTTTTTTTAACATATTGGGGATAAAAATATTTATGGAAAAAATGTCATATGAGGACATATCCCTTTCATCTCCCTCCCGTTTGACCGTAATATGTTTGTAAATTTCAGATTTTCAAAATTCCGTCAGTTGAACGACGAAAAAAAATGAAATATCTATTATGTAACTAAAATCTTACATTAGTGATCGAACGATTGGTTTTATATTATATTTACGCGTTATCGAAAATTCCAACCAAAAAGAGATAGATAGATAGGTAGATAAAGAAAGACAGAGAAAGAGGGGAAGGGAAGAGAATGAAGAGAATTATTACATTTCACAATTCGGTCGAACTCAAAAAGGTTAGGCACGGAATACATTTCAAATTTGTCATTTTCCTACTGTGGACAAGCGCATAACGACGGTCCACGGCGTGGTTTTGTCTTATTATCGATTTTATTCACCAAAATTACGTAATGTAGAGAGATATAAGCAAACGCGTTAAAAAAATATAAATTGCCTATATGTCTATGATGAATGCTTTTTATAATGATATATTATTATAATATAACGAGTCTCGTTTTATGCATTGTTTAAAAAAAACTAAGGAAAAAAATGAAAACATCCGAACCCTTAAAAAATTAACATTATCGTGTGCACCACCCTTTGGCATAACTCGTTAATTTGTGATTACCGATTTAAAGTTTATACGGTGGGCATAATCACATGCGATAGCCACATTTTTTTTCTTCTACAAAATGCCGTACTGCCCATACCGCTGTAGCCCATAACAGTTTTAGTCCGACCATCCGCGTCGGTATAAATATTGTATTTGTACGGTTAAATAATAATAACAATAGTGCCACATTTTCACACGTGCTTTTTTCGCGTGATTTTATGTTTTCTTTACAACTAAAATATCAGATAGAAACACTGCAGTCTCGTTCAAGCTCGGGTCAAAACATTTAGATGCCCCGGGGCCAAACTATTTTCAATTGGGCCGTCAAATAAATAGTAATTACAATAAAAAAAAAAAATATCCTACGATAGTGGGGACGAGTGCAGTCACTGTTATAGGTAATTTAATGTATATCTGTTAGCAACGATTAACTGTTGCTAACGAAAAAACGATTCTGAGCGGAGTTCAGTTGATAGTGATGCTTTTTCGACAATATATACGTCATATTCCGGTAAAATAATTATATAGACATTATATATATATATTCTTTAATAATATTTTTTTATTTACCGATTTTTCCGTTTTTCCTAGGTTTTTTTTGGTTTTTCACATTTGTTAAGAAATTTCCGGAGAAAATTGAAAAACGATTTCTCTAAAGTACCTCTCTAAATCGATTTCTTTCCAGAAAAGGTGCGACACATAAAAATCGGAGCAATTTCTCTGATAGAAAACTTGTCTACAGAAAAAAAAAATCGTTAAACATTTACATAACAATTAGTAATAAGGTCTAACAAAATCTACGAGTATTATTAAATTACATAAATATATTGTTGTATTCGAAGTCACAAAAAGTTTTCACCGAACGATGTTTTTTTTTTTTTTTTTTGGCCATCATCAGGTACTGAAAAAATAATACAAGTAATAAAATATCAAACTACAAAGAGTTAATTGTTAAATGCATGGATCAAGAATATACTGCGGCAGAAACTGAGGTCTTTGGAGCGTGTGGCACCACGGTCATAGTTCCTCATGTTGTCGATTCTCGTACACGCTCGACGAAGCAAAAATTAGTAGCCCATTAACTCATTTTCTGAAGTAATAGTCGATATTCTTGACCGATGTGTAATAACATTTTAACAGTTTCCGAAAACGTCACGAATAATAATTATTGCCAAATGTATATCAAAATTGAAACTAACAGTTTGGAGGAGCACACACAATTTTAAAATTGATTATTCTTTAAACTAAGTTGTTTTTTTTTATTTAGTTGTGGTGTTCTAGTACCAATGTTATATTATATTATGTGAGTTTATTCGGAACTCGTTTATATTATTTTCTCGCTTATAATAATAATAATAATAATATTTAACTGCAGTTACGGACTAGGACGAATCTGCGGTCGCATACTTTTCTGCGCAATTGTATAATAATACGAAACTTTGCGGAGTCGTCACTTTGAGTGCGTTTGCTTGTCTGCGTTGTCGAGTCAGGCGCGAACAATGATAATAATAATAATAATGATGATAATAATTGTTATTGAAATTTTCGGATAACCCGCAACCGGACACAAGGGACGCGGGATATTGCAGCCGGCCCACCGTCACCGAGCGCCGACCGACCGAAGTTGTTTTCATATTACACAGGAATGAAATCAATAGACATATTATTATACGGCCGCATGCGGTATTTATTCACTATAATAAAAAAAATAAAAACATAATATCAAATATATAATATCATCATAGGTTATACTCTACGGTCCGGTTTATATTCATTCGGTTAACAGATAATGATTTATCGCGCCAATTAATGTTAATCCCCAGTTAAACTAATAATATGATTCTGATAATAATATCAGACTGTAATATATTGTTGTTTAACGATTAGAATTTTGTTTGATTTTACTTGGTTTCAAATGTTTCTTGTTTCGTTGTAGGTAAACTATAGATTGTACCTATACCTATAAATCTAATTTAAAAAAAAAAAAAATCTCCTTTATTTGATTACTTAACATATTCCTATTGATTATTTAAAATATACACAAAACTATTAAAACGAATTACAAATTAAAATCGAAACAAAACAGTAGTGCTAAATATATTACGATAACAGCTGATATAAATTGACTAATTGAAGTTGGTATTATTTTCACATATTATATCATTGCTGTAAACGAATGCATTTCGACATTTAATCAATCTTCAATTTGTTATATCGAAGATTACATAAGCTCAGAATAAATACAATTGATGAAATCATGATTTGCATAAATCTACTGTTAGTTTTCATCTAAGGACATTCAGTTAACGATTGATAAAATGGGCCTAAATGTACCTACAATTGGAAACTGGAAAGTCTATAAAAGAGGATTATATAGGATATATATATATACATATTATGTCTCTTACAATACAATAAAATATCCAAGGCTTTGCGAATTCGTGAAAATTATTATATCAGTCAACAGTTAAGTTAAAAGTTTAATATGAAAGCGTATTAAGTTAATTTGAATTTTATTTTGTTTGTATAATTATTTTTGTTGCCATAGTCAGAATAATTAAACGTAGAGTTTGCGATTTTTTTTTAAAAAAGGATTGCGAAACACAAGGATCGTGCATTCATATGGCGTATACATTCAACCTCACCCATCTAAAAAAATTAGGAGGAAACCTTATTACCTATGTATAACACAATTTAATTTACACTATACTAGTACGGTATGCAAGATTCAAATAATGTACGTTATAGTTTATAAATAATTAGTCGAAAGTTAAAACTAACTAAATTGGTCGACTCGTTAATGTCCACTCTCGAATTATAATGTTATATATAGGTTTATAATATAATATAGTACGGCAGTATGAAATTCGGACGCCTGCAGTAGGACGACGACGATAAAAGCAATTAAACGGAGACTGTAAAATTCTATCGGGATTTTTTTTTTTTTTAGAGCGTCTCGCAGCATAAAAACACAAAATATAATAATGTTTTTGTATAAAATAGTTTTATTTTGTACGCACGTGCCCGAGTTTATATCCCGTATACGTTACGTCCGGTTTTATGATCGGATGTAACATTAAAACACGAAATTATACAATACATATATAGACTGTAATAATATAGATACAGCTATATGTATAGAAATTCAGGGTATCCATTCGGGTTTGTTACTCGTTCTTGTCCCGGCGTGTTTTATAAAATATTACGATAATTCAATATGGGTGATACGAATGGAGTGTATTATTGTCATAATGCGGCTATCGATTGGAATTATTGCAACGGTCCCGGTATTCAGAAACGTTTTGTATCCGAATGATTGGAACAGGCGAGGCGGGTATTTCGCGAGCCGAGCAAAGTTTAATGAGACGAGCGCTATAGCCATAGCGACCTAAATAAGACGCGATCCCGTGGAAGACAGGCCGAGCGTCAACGTTGACTAAATCGAGTTGGGAAGGACACCGAGGAAATTAATCAAGCGGCAAAGGTTCGGAAGAAGTGCGGATATCCGGGATAGACGGAAGGATTGGGCGGCCGAAGCAGCAAAAGGCCTGTACACGACCCATAGAATCTAGAGACATAAAATAAAAATAATAATAATAACAATAATCGAATTATTGTAATAATATACACTCGTATTTTGTCGATAATCTGAATATTTTTTAAGAAACCGTAGTGTATTTTAATTTTTGATTTCCCCCGAGAACGTCTAACCTATATAATGTTTCTAAACAACTCTCAATTCTATTTCGTTCAGTAAACATATTTTTTAGGTACTTAAGATTTATCGGTCAAATTTAAAAAAATAAGCCTCGTATTGTCAAATAATCGCCCCAGTTCCCGTTTCTGTAATGTAAACTAAATTTTCAATTATTTTCACGCATAAAATTCGTTTTTTGACGCGCGTATCAATTTTCTTAAGATTGTTTGATATTTTCTAATACGCAATTTGCATCGACAATGGTAATATAGAAATATGATTATTATCAGCTAGGTACTATACTAACTTCACAATCGTAAATTGTATAAAATGTCAGATCCGTCTCTCTGCGGTAACGCTTTTTCTAATATACTTAGAACGTAAACTGTGGAGTTTACATTGAAACTGGCGTTAAGTAACACGAGTTACACAATTTAAATAAACGAATAGTTTGAATAACTGTGGGAAGCTGTTTTCCAAACGAATTGCCATATCAAAAAGATACATCCATGCGAGTTTCTGCGTTTTTTTTTTAAAATATCTTTAATTATTTAAGTTTTGTTATTTTTGATTGAACTCCAATTTAAATTGAAATTTCGTAATGTATATTCTGAGTAACGTAATTTTTCTATGTCGTGCATTAGTAAGACGGAGACCACACGATATGGTGTTGCGACATTTTCGTAACTAAAAAAATCGTGAATGTACCCGTGTCACACTTATTAATAATTTATTTTTTGTAACAATTAACTGCAATCCAAACTTTGCGCCTTAGTGCACCCGGTTTTGTAAATCATAAATGCCCATCGAGATCGGCTGCAGTCGAATTTTGCCACACGAGTGCGACGTACGAACAATAAAATAATTATCAGTTGATTTTTAATCTGTTAAGATCATTTACGATTCAGTATAGTCCGACTATAAAGATCGATTTTAATTTGTACGGCACGGCGCGACAAAACATTTTACCAAAGAATGTTTGGTCGGAATCAATTTAATATTGAAATATGTATATTTTTTAATGTTTCTGTACAAAATTAATATAAATTAAGTTGGTTCGAAAAAACTTTATTGCGAAATTCAATATGTGTACTATTTTTTTTAAGCGACAAGTAAAAATAATGAGAACATTTTGATTCGATAACTCACTCCTTTCCACAAGTCACGGGCCTTGGCGTGCCGCGTAAGGACTGTTCTTACTGACATAAACAATGATTTTTTAAACGGAGGTTCTAAGAAAGCCGACCAATTGCGATCGGTTAAGACAAACGAAAACATGTATGTTGGTGTGAACAGCCCCAAAATGTAAATCGGGCTTAAATCGGTTTTTCGTTCTTATAACATTAATTGTTTCAAAATTAACAACGGAGTAAAATTTACGTTAAAACGTGTTGGTATCTAAAGAAAAAAAGATGTTTACGCCCTGAGACATGACGATTCGCATCATTTGGACTTAACACTAGACGGTTTTAATATTTTAATGGCCGTTACAACCTGTCACGTATGACGAGCATTATATTGAACGAGTAGTTCAGTAATAATTTCGGATGAAATCGGACATTTATTTGCGTACCTATTTGCATAGTATTATTATGTTGACAGTGACAAACACGAGTGGACCAACATTACACGGGTACGCGTTTCACGCAGTTATACGTACTGCGGATATTATTTTTATTTTTTTGTATTTTAACATCGGTCTCTCATTTTTAACGATGCACGTCCTCTGGTTTTTATTGTAAAAAAATAAACAAACAATTATTAAAAATATTCGAATCGACAAAAATGTCGACATGTTGGTTTTTTTTCTCCGGTACTTTTGATCGGCGCTTTAGTTTGCGCCGACTAAACGTCGTGATATAGGTATGCGTGTGTCGCCTCGGGTATTTCGGATTTCTACGTGAACGGTTTGTTTAAATTTATTGCGAATACTCTAAAACCAGCAAATTTATTTATGTATAAATGTTATTATATACCGGCCTTTATCAAAACCTATAACGACGAGTCTGATTCGGAGGGGAGAAGGATAACTCTTCGCGGGAACGACGTGCACGCGTTCATAATAATATTATTGTGTAATACAGCGCCGCGGCCGTTGCGGTCTTTATGCGGCCGAGGATTATCACGTCCGGGATTCGCGGAAACGTCTGGAACTGCAGTGTACTGTAAAATATAATAATGCGTGTGTATACTATTATGGAGGACGAGCGTTATTATAATACGATTTCCAGCACAGTATCGGAACGTGAAATACGCAAAATACGCGTATGTATCTGAAAGATTTCTCGTATAATGCGACCATTGCGCGCGCTGTTTTACGGATGGGCGTGATTTTGGACGTCACGCAGTGGTGCCAGTTTTCGATGTCGTCGGTCCCACTGCGCGCCGTCGATAAATTCGCGAGTGTGGTTACAAAATAATGATTTAAAGCCGAGAGTTTTTTTTTTTCGTTTTTAGCCCGCGAAAACGTCCGAAAAACCCTCTTTCTCGTTTAATAACCGCTGCTACTGCTGTTGCTAACCCGTATAAATAATTACGCGTTATTAACATATTTCTATACACACATACGACTATACATTATTATATATTGTGCCAAAACTGTCAACGGATGATAATATTATATGATATATTTATTAATCGGGGAAATCGAACAAATACAATCACCGTTCTTGTACATGATTTATGACGCACTCGCTTGAATATTCTTTTTTTTATACTACACATATGTCTACAGCCATCTATACTACGAGTATACAGGGTGTTCCACAGTGTTATCCATATCCATATTCTGCAATATTTATTTATTTTTTTTTTCTATCGGATTTTGTGCAAGGGGCACTCATATGTGGAGAAAAATTAAATTTTCAATTTAATCTCTCAATTATTTAAACATAATAACTTTAATCACTTTTCAACATTTTCAAAATAGCTGTTTTGTAAAAGATGTTCTAAAAATTTGAACGTAACATACATTCATATCCGATCTATAGTTTTTTGGTAATAGCCGTTAAAATGTCTAGATTAACTGGCGTAAAAACAATCAATTTTGAATTGAATTACAAGTTGAATCACAATCAGCTCGGTAGTTCCTTCTAAATTTCTTCATCATCATGATAAATAAAACGCGATCAAACTTATTTTTCCGTACCAAAGAGATTCGAACATTTCTATGGCACTATAGGATTTTTTATCGGCAACCAAGTCGTATATTTTATTTTTAATCCAGAGAAACTTATTCAGTAGTTCCCGTACCTACGAATTATTTACGAGACCTTGTACCAACATTTATCGGGAAAAATACTTATAACGTGAAATGCGGAAATCATAATATTTATATAGAATCAAAATATTAGCATAGTGTCACCATGCGTTTTCTTTATCCCAACATAAAATTCGCGACGTGATATACGCAAACGTGAATATGCCCAGAGACCGTTCAATCAAGACAGATATACCTATACTATACATACACTCGTTTTTCTTCTCATTGTTGACTCTGATGACTAACAACATGGATTTACGATCGAATTTCCTTCCAACGTGGTTGCTGTTTTTAAATATAGATATATATATACGGTAGTCGAGGTGGAGGCCTGAGTATAAAATATTGCTGTGATTTATTTACGATTTCGGTACGTTCGACGAGCATAAAATATATAATCTCCGGAACCTTTTGAATAATGATAAAACGGCCGTGGCATTGGTCGTGAACAAAAATATCGTATAATAATTATCATATTGGAATAATATGCACTGGGTAAATTATTTTTAAATGGATATTGAATACGTCCGTCTAGCAAATGGGAATTATATAAAATAAAAATAAATACAAAAAATTACAACCTAAATATTATCATATATTCTAGGCAACAATTGTCGATAAGTTCATATACATAAATAAAAATGAAATGATGTGGTGTTTTTTTTTAAGTATTTACCCGTGGAAATATAAATATTTAAACACACCAATATTTACGCAAAGATTTCAATTCGGTGCGAAATTGTCTATTGCATTCATCATCCTGCCCGCATTTGCATTTCGCAACACTTACATTGAAATATGAAACTTATACACATACAAACAAATTGGTGTGTGCCATTTGTTTACGTAAATGTAACGCAAGTGTATGAATAAGTAAAATGCTCCGCAATTGTGTTTTGATCGGCCCGTTCTATAAGGATTTGTATAAACCAATAAAAATTCAGTAGGAAATAAAATTGAAGAAGGCTGTTACTACTGATGGGTGTACCACTGTAACAGAAGGGTGGTTGGAAGACAGGAAAATGGAGTAATTTAATTTAATTTAATTTTGTACGCAACAAAAAAATATTTCCAACGAAAAACGATTCTGAACAGAGTATATTATTGGCTTTTTTTCCTTGTTATCAAGATAAGCCAGAAAAAAACACAAAAAATATGCAACGAATTGCTAGGTTTTCCAATTTATTATAATAATTTAAATTTTTATAATAAATGTTTTTTTTTTTTTCATTGAATTTTGATTTATATTAAAATTATAAGTCGTGACACCATCTTCTCATAAACCTCCCTTGGGGACTTACAGGTATTGAGTCTGAGTCGAGTGCTGAACTTAGTGGGTTATGGTAATTTATCTAATCATAAATGTCGCTCAGAATGTAAAAGCAAAAAAAAAAAAATAAAAATAGTATTTGAACAACAGAAAAAGTTCTACCACGTTTTTATTGATATTGCGATAGGTAAACCTAAACCCTACTACCTAACCGATTTCGATTTATAACACTGCGGGAGACGGTGTTCGACAAAATATCTATTAAAATATGTATGACGGGACTATTTCGTAAAAATGACCGAAATAATAAACTCAAAAAAAAAAAAAAAAAAAAAAAAAAAAAAATAACAACAAAAAAGCTCTTATATTTAATTTTATAAATATTTAAAATATTTTTATGCAGCATTGCTGTTTTATACTTTGGTCTAATTTTCGAAATTATTATCCGCAGAGATAATAACTTAAGTTACCAAAGTTCAAACCTTGTAGAACGAGTATTATATATATAATATCACTTGTTAAAAAAAAATTAGGTATCACCATAGAAATTCTAAAAAAAATCCTTTGCCGTTGATGCGTATACCCGTGTTAAAAGGAAAGTAAGAAGGGAGAATATATAGAGAAATTAATTTATAATACCTGTATGCAACGATAAATCATGGCTGATCAATTTTGATTCTGACACTTCTGAGCGAAGTTCAGTTGAATGTGTTTTGAAATTCCATCATTTTTATAATTATTGTCAATATTTCAATACAAAAAAACATATAAAAAAAAAAATTTCAAAAATGCTAAAATTTTAATTTTTTTTGGCAGTAACTATAAAATGTATAATGAACCACGTATAAAAAATTGTTAAACATTTTTTTTTAGCTAAACAATTGTTAACACATAAATTCAAATAAAATTATTACCACGTCTAGAAAGTGTCGACACTATATTTATTGAAAAGGTCAAGTTCTCACAATCATTTTTAACCGAATCACAGCAGAAAAACGAAACCGACTTACGGACTTGACGTCGGTAAACGTTCCCGTTTTACCCGCGTTTCTTTCCGATTTTTCCGGGTAATATCCCTCGATGCACCGACTAGATTCAAATCGCTACATAAAAGCTCTCTCGTCTAATCGTTTTGATAGAAGCGATATTTTCGCCCGAAAAAATGGAAGACCTATCAAAGTTTTCGGTGTACGTTAAAATGTTTTCAAAACCTGTTTATTGCGCGTGAAGTTGTTAACGTTTATTGAAACCGGTGTATCTGATAATACACATAGGAAAGGTTAGTATTGGTTTATCAGTGCGTAAAAACATTAATATAACGATAATGTTCGTTATTTACGCTTAGCAACGCTTTGTTTTGTTATACCTGTATTCAGTTATTCGTCCCTCCTGAACAATTTCATTTTTATAACACACACCGATATCATATTTGTTAAGATTTCAATTGTTTACGGACGGCAAAACGTTTTTTTTTTTTTTTTTTTTTTTTTTTTTAAATTCACACACGCTGACAGAACCTCCGATACTTCCCCCGATGCGCTGGGAATCTAAAAAAAAAAAAAAAATCCATTAAAATCGCTTTATACCTAACGCAATATCTATTATGGCGCGTCTTCCGGAGCCCCGAGAAGAGAGGCGCGCAGACGCTTTTAATTCGGTTATACCTTTTAAAACGCCGTAATGTTCCTCGCAGACGACCCCCGGATAATATAATAATAATGTGACCCCGCGACCCCGCCGAGGTGCGTAACGTCTTTTTCTATTAGTTTTATTAGGAAAGCTGCGGCCGCCGCCGCCGCCTCTGCCATTGCCGACGTTGCGTCGCCCGGCTTTTCGGAATTTATAAATCAGTTCCCGGCCGTTTTATTGCCAATTTCCCGTCGCCGCCGCCGTCGGTCGGGCCGTTAAAGTTTCGTTTTAATTACGCGCGTTCAAAGTGCTATACGCGCTGTTATATTATACATGCGCACGTGTTACTTTTTTTTTTTCATCAATATTAAAACGAGAATAAAAAAAAAATATATGTAATTTACCTATCTAAAAAATACGGACATAATTCGTACGACGGGTGGGCCGCTGTTGCGCTTTTGTGAGTGATTAGTCAGGAAGGTAGTTATAGGATAAAAAGGGGAATTTAACGTACATTCGTACGCGACGATAAATTTCGGCTAACAAAAAACGATTCCGAGCGGAGTTTGTTTATATGCGTATATATGTTTTAAAAGGCCACGTAATGTTTACGATTTTCGTCAAAATTTGATATTAAAATTCCTTTAAAAAAAAAGAAAATATTACATTATAAACTCAACTTTTCCTATTGACCACTAAGTACAACTTGAATTGAATTTCCTGTTAAATTTTCAAGCATTTTTGTCCGTTGTATCAATTTTATCTACAGAGTACCTACCAAATAAATATTTCGTAAAAACTCTCAAAATTACAATATCCGTAAAAAGCCCAAATGAGACTAACCTCTTTTAAAAATGTCACCACGTCTAGAAAAAACAAATTTAAGGTTTCTGTCCAAATTTCAAGTCTCTACACATATTTCAAACTGAATTACAACAAAAAAAAAAAGTGTTACCTATTTTTCAGTTTTCCTACAGTTTTTCTCAATTATTTTGAAAACTGTTTGACAAATTTAAAAATGACTTCTCAAAGTACTACTTCAGGAAAATTTCCTTTCAGAAAAAGTATTACAATAGAAACCCGGAGACAGATATCTAGTAGAATTTTTGAACACAGAATAAAAAAAAATAAATAAATAAATAAATAAATAAACATTATTGTAAAACCAATATATTCCTCGCTTCACTCAGAAAAATAAATCCTCGTAATATACGTTTATTTTATCTGGAGCACTTGTTTTTTCGACGACGCATCTTGGCATAGTGAAATATATTATGTTTTATGGTTCAAACAAAAGTTTTTTTCATGAAACGCGCGTTCGCACGCAAAGATAATCCAAAACGATTGCAGACATAAACTTTTTTACGTTTCGTAGTGATCCGTTAGGGGGTGACGACGGGTGACGACGAGAGTGCGCCGAAACCCCGGTAACAGTTACATAAAGATTGAGGAAAGGTGACCTATAACCTAACCTAACTAAATCAGTCGTATTTTATACTTTTTTTTCATTGCAAACGGTGTAGTAGGGCTATACTAAATCCATTTTGAACGCGTCCGAAAACTGCGACCGATATAATCTTCGTTGATGAACCCGAGTTTCCTATTATATCTTCATTAAATTGAGAAACTTATTGCACCTAAAATCTACAAAAAGCACTTAGACGTGTCAAAAAAAACCATTAAAAAACACTCGAAAAATAAATAACAGAGGAAGGAGTATAAAAGTCCCCCAACTCTAACGACTTTAACTTATCAAATACCATTTTCTAATGCTATTCAAATAATGAATACAAAGTAATTTTTTTTTAAACGAAATAGTGCGTATTATAAAACAAATTAATTTGTGTTAATCGTGTTTATAGTGTTAGAAAACTTTATTTAATAGGTCAATAGAGGAGAAGACTTTTAAACCCTAGTTAGCATTTTTGGTTTTAAATATTTTCAATCGCTTTATTGTCGTTTACAAACATTTTTCTGTAGATTTTAAGTGAAATAAATCCCGAACCCTGATCATAATACTATGGATGGAACCAAAAGTTTAGTATGGTTCGTGAAATCCGCCCTCCAAAAATCTATGGATTATATCTGTTCAGAGCGCATGCTCTTGTTGTTGGAACGGGTGTCAGTGGCGGTTATCCGTGTTCATTTGGAACGGTGTTGAAAGATTGATTAATCGTGCGCATGCGCAGTAGAGACCTGTGAGGACTGAGTCAGCATTCTGGGAGATTATAGCCTGCAATTTGGGCGGATGGCTTCATACGTAGGAGAATATTGTCAAAGGTTCAATAACGCAATTGTTTTGAGGACAGACCCAGCAAAAAAAACGGTATTAATCAAAATACGATTAACGAATATTTATCAACTCTAAACGCGTATACTGCAGCGATTAAACAAGATTTTCGACTAAAAGTATGTTCAATAGGAAATCGATAAGCGGGGAAAGAATCGTTCGTCCTCAGTTAAATTTATTCTCCAAGTTTAGGAGTGGATTTGTCGCGGTCCTTGTCAAATAGTTTTTAGCGTGCAATGCTCTTCGTTTCGATGCGCTGAGTGTGTGAAAATGAGAATGTTACAGAAAATCGATCATCCTGTGTATTTTATGTACGAACGATTATAATATCGTTCTGTAATCATATTGCCGTATACCTACGAATACTGTACAGAGCGCCCGGACGATATTGCAGTAATATTATTATATATACAGCCAAACGAGTAACGTTATAATAATATATAACGTGGTCGTAAAAAAACGTCGCGAGGTTTTTATTACGTAAGTATATATATATTATTATACGGTAGTAATAAATGGCGAAATAGTTTTTTTTTTTTGTAATGGAAATACGCGACGGATTTAATAATTAAATTCATGTATTGTTATCGCGCGGACCGTCTTCAATCACAGCGCGATATTGCGATAGAAAATGCAATAAAAAAAAATTCACGAAAAAAAGAAATGATCATTTTTAAACATATTAATTGACTCGAAAAAATATATTATTTTATAATACTATGTAAGTTGTCTTTTAAAAAAAAAAAAAGAAAAGAAAGCATTTGAGACGGAGACAAGTTTCATAAACGCGCTTTAGAAGTATATAATTGTATTCGACAATTCTTTTAATCAGTGTCTCAGCCCCTTCCCACTTTCTTCGAAAAAAAAAAACGTCTAAATACTCCCTTGGCTTACAATCAGTTTTTTTCAGCGATCGATTTGACAATATTATCATAGTTATAATTAAAGTTGGGGCCTTTTAATAAAATAGTACAGTTGATGAGCACGCCACTGTTGTTTACAGGAAGTATGGAAAATAGGATACATAAAGTTATTTATGTCTGCGTACACGGCGATAAATCATCTTTGGTGGAATACGATTCTAAGCGAACTCCGGTTAAACGAGTTTTGTCTTATTATGGTTTTCGTCAAAAATTCAAACCTTATGAAAAAAAGCAACTACTTAACACTCGAATATTTTGTTTCACCACTAAGTACAACTTATCACGCACCTCGCGTTGAATTATCGACTGTTTTTGTAGGGCCATTACAATAAAATACATCCGTATAAAATCAAATAAAAACTATTTATATATATAAAAAAAAAAAAAAACAAGACCGTTTCAAATGGCTATAAATCGCTTAAAAACCGCCAGAAAACGTACCGCGTCAAGAAAGTTCCAATACGAGGGTTCGGCAAACGTTTCGGTGAAAATTCGGCACGCGCGAAACTCGGAGGAGCGATATTTCTGGCAGTAAATTCGTCGACCGGACGGAACAAATACCACAACACGCCGTGTTGTGTTCCACGTCTATCTCATTCGCCATGTAATTCGTTATTAGACACACTAGAAAATATGAGCAGCCTTATCGTTCAATTGTTTGATTTGAAATCCTTGTTTAGATCGACCAATGGCTACGCAGACTGTTCAGAATTCTATACGTTTTATATTGTTCCTTTTTTCTATATTTAAGACGTATAATCGTGTTTTTAATGCCTACCGATTCCCAATGAAATTCCTCGGCAAAATAAATTAGTATTATAGTATGTTTTTTTTTTCCGTTGCGGCTCTTTGAAAAATCGCGGTTTTGCAATTTTATTTAAAAAAAAAAAAAATGATTCATTTACACGAAAAGGTTCCCGGCCTCTGCTATAAATGCTCTTTTTAATTAGATACGCGAGATCAGCTAATAAATAACATTTTGATTTTAATTTTTAATTAAATTTGATTTTAATTCTATCGAGTTTTTTTTTTCTTTATGGTGATCATATTATCAGACACTACCCGGAAGTTATGATTTTGCCATATTCGTTAATTTTTTATGCTGTTATTTCTTCAATTTCTTAATTCGCCGTTACTCACCGTTATTGCACGTATGCGTACGCGACGGGCATAATTGCGCTGTTGGCCGGTTCAAACTGACGATAGATAAACGCGTATCGACGCACGCATTCCCAGCGTGACGCCGGGTGACCGGACGGGAAAAAAACCGCTGTTCCCGGTAGGGTCCGGGAAGAGTTCGACGTCGACAGACGTACTTCGCGGCGCGGGGTGAACACGGGGACGGCGCGGACGGCGATGATAACGGCACCCGGGACCGGCGCCGACGCCGTACAGATATTCCGTGAACGGCGCGGACCGCGCGGAATTGTCGACGTTCCCCAAACCGAACGGGGTACCGCAGACACGCGGGAGTACCGGTACTTCGCATCGATAATACGATATTATTATTATCGCCTGCCGGCAAACGATACCGGACGGTGACAATGTTTTCGTACGCGCGCAATACTATTAAGGCGCCTAATACGGCGGCGACGCATTGACACGTTGTTCGATAACGCGGGTCACACGACTGGCGCAGCGTATTCCTGCTGCTGCTGCTGCTGCTGCTTGCCACCGCGGACGTACTGTCGCGATAAAATATTATTGCGTGTCGTGATTTCTGTTTTCGCGAAACGCAGTAAACATTTTATCGAGACCGATTAAACGCGCTCGAAAGCGTAAATTGGTTTTATAAACAAATACCATTTCAATCCCGTATGAACCGTGACGCGCGCGATACTATACGATATTATTATTATAATACGTATTTACGAAACGAAAAAACACAAAATACCGTAATCCTATTTTTATTTATTTATTTATTTTTTTTTTTTTCGTTGATTTTTTATTTGTTAAATATTTTTCCAACGGAGATTGAATGCCCGTTTTTTTTTTAGATTTATCGGGGTAGGAGGGGGTGGGGGGTGGGGTTGGAGGAATATCTGCATAATGATATTCTATACGCGCGTTCGGCATTCGGTTTTAAATTTTTATTGATTTCGTCGATTCCTAGCGGTGTGGCAGGCACCTGATGTAATTGTTTAAAAAGTTCACTCGTGCACGTATTTTTTTTTTTTTTAGATTTTAAGCGGTACGGTATCGGTATATTGTTCGCATCGTTGTTTCGGTCTGTCTGCGTAAACAAATTTACTTACTGCCCAGAAATCTTGTTTGAATCGAAAAACGATAGGATATATTTCTTGTCGAATTTCTGGATTTAGTCGGTGCGTGACAAAATTGTACGATTGTTTTCCGTGTCGTTTTCTTAGTAATTGGTCAATATGGGGAGGAAAAAGAAACTTTTTTTTTCAGTTTTTATTCGATAGGTTCAATGTGTATAAAATTATTTGATAAAATTGAAATACTTTCACACAAGGTTCGTTATAAACATTACTTAATGGTAAAAAAAAATGTTGAGCCTATGTAACAAATAGTTTTTTTTTCTTTATACAAGCGCTCGCTAATATTAATTTTCGAAGAAAATAGTAAGGCGTTTAAAAACACGTTTAACTGACTTCGCTCAGAATAGTATTTCGTTATAGTAATGGTTTACCGTTGTTTAATGATACTCGTGAAATAACTTTATTTATCTTTCTTATTTTCCACTCACGACATTGGCACACCCATCAACAGTATAAACGCTTCTTTTTTTTTTTTACATTTTTTCTCTACCAACACATTTTAAGTCGATTAAAAACGATTCGAAATTATTCATATTGTATTTTAAAAACTGCGGATTTTTCGCCCGATTGTATCGCGTGGTTTCGAACGAATTTTCCAGATTTTTGACATATTTGATAAAAAAAAAAACCAACAAAAATTAAAAATGCCGGTTTAAATTTTTGTTAATATCCAGGTCAGGTTACCCCTAGCTCTGTGTCGGGTTTTTTTTTCAGGCATTCAAGGTTAAAATACAATATCACCCGCGTTTTTTGTACAAATAAAAAACCGTAGTAAGTTTTGTTTTAATGAGTATTTTTTTTTTTTTTTAATTGGTATATTATTTTACGTATTTATACAAATTCGTAATAATTAACATAATTATTTTAATATTTTTAACGGACGTTGTAAACTCGGTTTGTAGCTCAACGGCAGAATGTCTATTTCGATATTGACGTCTCCATCGGTATTGTATTATCGTCTGTATCGTATTATTAGCGGCTATCTATGGTGTAGACTGAGAATTACTTTCCAAACTATAATATTATATTTATTGTATAAATAACCGTGTCGACTGCACTGCATAAAATATTTCGAAAAAAAAAAAACCAAACAATTCATATAAATTAATAATTATATTTTCCATCTCGATTGTCGATGCAGAGAGAAAGCAGTGCGATAAAACAAATAGCAAATTCCTACTCCCTTGGGTAAAAGTAAATTTTATAGGATATTTTTATACATATAAAAAAAAAAGACGACAAATTGTTGATTTTAAAACGCAAACATATAACTGCAATTTAAAGTACTTATTTATGGTTTTTTTTTTTTTTTTATATGCTTTATCCTTTTAAAATCACTATTCAAACTCAGCGGCATGGTTAACCATAGTAAATATATTGCAAGACATTATATACATGATATGTGTATACATTTTTAAGAATAAAAAAAGAACATTATCTTTCGATATATAAATAATATATTATGACATGGGATAGCCTACAACTATAAGGTATAGAACATCTATTGCGTATACCTACACCGTACATCAAAGAAATTTTGAATTTTAAAAAAAATCACTTAAAAAGGATTCGGTAGATTTTTTATTTTATTAATTTTTACATTTATGTCTTTATTACGGGTCTCGAAAAAATACCCTAAGTATGAAATCTAGTGACGTGTTCAAGAATTTTCAATATGAGATGACGCAGTAAGTAAACATCATAAACGAATCGTAGAATTATTTTCGTTCTATCTAAACCCCGGCGCAGCCAATTGATGAAATCGAAAAACAGTACGGAAAGATCAAAATTTAAGACATTTTGTGTACGTATGACTTATATATTATTCCGTGTTGTTTTTTTTTTATCGGAAAATACTCGTTCGGTTATTGAAAATGTTACAAATTTCTACAGGATTACCTCGGAGCAGTGTTGGGCATAGATGTTTCTAGATAATTATTCGAATGATTTTTTACAATTATTCGAATGAAAATTCGTTCAAATAATTTCAAAATTGATTATTCAAATAACTGTCTGACATAAAAATCGAATAATATTCGTTTGTTTTATTTGTTTAAATATCGATTAGTAATTTAAAAATAATCAATTATATTTTCGTAACTGATAGACTGGTATTAAGGCAGATAAGATCAGCATCATCCGTGCGATTCGTTCGCATTATATAGATTTGACTTTAGACTATTACGAAAAATGTAGTATTTTTTTATGGAGCTCAATATTATGTTTGAAAATTATTTGAATGCATTTTTATTCGAATTATCAGTTTTAAAATTATTCGAATGAAAAATAATCCAAATAGTTTTAAAAAAATCATTAGAATAATTTCTTATTCGAATACAAATTTATTTAAATATTTACCTAAATAAAATTATTTTATTCGAATAATGCCCAACTCTGTCTCGCGCCTATAAGCGGAAAACACACGACTTACCTGTCTACCGAGAACCGCTGAGAATAGTTTTTTTTATTGCGATTATTTATTTTCGCTTTTAGGAACTATACATTATTCTATATCCCATACCACCCCACCTGATTTTCCGCCTACAACTCATTTGTTTAAATAATTGTTTGCAAAGAAAACATATTATATAGTATCATAATACGTGTAATAAATATTAAAATTAATAAAGTTCAATTTTGATTATTGACAACTGCACGAGCACTATAAAACAGACAATAGGTGATTCGGTATTATATTATAAAAAAAAAAAAACCCACGTGGCGCCAATCCCGCAGTGATTTTTAGGTCACAGTGTTATTAATTATTTTTTCATTGCCCGTTAAAACGATGGTATTTAAATTTTTATTCGTTTCAGGCATACTTTATTATTATATACAGTGTGTTTCTCTAAAACGGTTACACGAAATATATCGGCCGCCGAACACGCTTGGATTGAAATGGCATTTAAAAACACAAAAATCCGGAGGGTAATATTTTTAAAATGCCAAGGAATTTTTGAGATGCGTGTATACGCATTAAAATTTACACGACGTGCTTAAACGGTAACGACTCTATTTATGCATCGGATTCGAAAAGTTGTATTTGTTTTCCGAAAAACCTCGACCAATATAATTTATTTCTATTACAATAAATTCTCCGAGATTAAGTCATCCTAAAGTTTATTAGAACATTTTTATCTCGATTTTTCGAAAAATTTAACACTTATGGATTTTATGTATAATATACTATTGTACGATTATCGCGACAACTACGAATATACTTTTCCCCTATAAAATAGTTGTACAATTTCATCACTTTTAATGCAATTAAAATAACTGCACAAAAAAAAAAAAAAATCAAGAAAGAATTAGAATTTTTTTATAAACTTTGTGTGATAATTTTCGAGATTAAAAGAAATTTGTTCAACGAAAATCAAGCCATTTAAATTTGATATTAAAAATACTTATTAGTCTTATTTATTCAATGAAATGGTAAGTTTTATTGTTCACATGTGCCAAGGCTGCCAACCGCGAGGGTTGAAGTTTGTTTGTAATTTTTTTATCAGTGATATGTATACAAAAAAAAAAAACCATATTAATCAAAGTCCGTTTGAATTAAATATTTCGCGTTACAATTTCAGTGATTCACACTGAATATGTGAGCAAAAGTTAATGTGGTGGTACGCCTAGAAAACCTTCAAGTTGTAGTTGTACAACAATTATTCAAATTTCTCCCAGCCTATCACAAATGATAATTGCATATGAAAACAAGTTTTGCAACTAATACTAATTGTAGTTGTCAGTTACCCAAGTTTACTACAAACTGTACAGTTTATACAGTTTTTTTTATAGAGTGCGCGTGATTATCTCCGGCTGTCTAAACGATGCGCCGGTTTCACTAATCAAAGAAGTTAGTTAAATTTAGCCAAGTATAAACCATTGGCGTAACCAGGATTGTACAGAGGTTCGTTTGGCGTTTTTTTCTAGTCTATGCATTTTAACGTCAACGTATTTATATAAACAGTCCCTTCGTATTTATTTCATATTTATTTTGTTTTTTTCACTTTGTGCCACACTTGCACTCCATAAACCATTTCTCGGCTTATTTATTTATTATCGAATAATGTTTTTAAAAGTATTTTTGAATTTTATTATACCTATTATACGCGTCGCGCAGTATTTCATATTTTAAAAGTGTCGGATTACTCTATTTCGCTGCCGCCAATATAAACACGGAGATGAGCTGCGCCAAATTTCATTTTTATGGCAGGTCATAACTTATATAATAACACTAATATAATATACATTTTTTTTTTTTTTTTTTTTTTTTTATTTGAAAATAATATTCAAGAAAATGCGCGAAAGCTAATCCAAAATTCGTTAGGTGCGTTATAAAATAAGGTATGCGATCGGAGAATTTATTAGAAAAGTTTATTTGCAAGCCTCGGTTCTCGAATAAATTATTCGAACCCACTATCGTTGTAGGTATTATTATTATTATAAGGTCGCCGCATAAACTCGACAATAGTATAGGTAGCGATAATAATAATAGGAAACGTCCGATAAACTTATAATTACGGAATTCTCGATTTCTCGTAGAATATCAACCGAAAACGTTATGTCCGTAGCATTAGAGATATTATCCGAGATAGTTTACTTCGCTGACCACCTAAATAGTATTTAGAGATTAATTATTTCTTTAATAATTTTAAAATATTATTAATACACATATAAATGTGTAAAACAAATATTTTTCTGGCCCATAGCTCCAACGAGTCATCTAACTGATAAACGTACACTCTGCCATGCCATTCTATCTTGGGTTCTCTTTCGGCAGTTACTCAAAGTGTTTTTCACTTTTCTCGGTTTTCTGTGAAATAATTCAAAATTTTGTTTTTCAAATTTCAAATTAAATATTTACAATAGGTAACCTATATTTAAATATGTAATTTATTATCGACAGAAACTGCTAAACTAGTGACAGCCGACAGTCAGATAACGTTAATAGATCAATTATACTTCAGCCTGGTTTCTAATAACTCATAAAATCGTAACTAATAATATTTTCTTTCTAACGTTCTTTAGTTTTTTCCATTCAATTACATCTGTCTCTGTTGTAGCGTTACAAGTGACGGTCGAATTGACAGGCAATCTACTTCTCATCTTCAGATTGTACGATTGGCAGTTTTTTTCCTCAAAGTAAATATTAAATACTTATCCATTTGTTTTGTTCCTAAATATTAGTAAACCGAGAACTCGTCTGAATTTGTTTTTCATAATACGGTTGTATAGAACATTATTAATGCCCGGCAACTCACAAAAGATAATCCTAGACTATCTACTCGTCGTATCCTGAATTCAGTTGCAGATTTTTATGTTTTCCGTTATATTTGCTTTTTTTTTTTCTGAAAAAGACTACATACAGACTACATGTTATGTTGAGGAGTAAATTACCAAAATAAACTATAGTATATTCACAACAGTTTCAGAAGATAAGACCCCGTACAGTTGTTTACTATTTAATTTTGGTACATGTGAGTATAGAAAAATACAATATTAACACAGAAAAAATACATATATACTATAATATGTCTAATATTATCTATAATTATTCTGTGATTATTAATTGATAACTAATTAGAAATCGAGTTATAAGAAATAGGCATAATGTAGAAGTTGCTCGATTTGAGTAAACCGAGTTAATTTATGGTTACATCTTATGCATACATACCTTGATTTAGTACCTACCCAACTTATATAATAAGTAACAAGTAACTAAAAAAAATTAATGTATACTTAACTTGTTGAGTTATTGTTTAGTTACTCGGGAGTAGTAAAAAAAAAAAAAAAAAAAAAAAAACGTAACTAATAAGTTATAATTAATTGTTACCTCGTTACCTACAAAACAATTATAGTTATAATTTTTGATTGTTGGAATTGAAGTTACAATATGGTACTTATCTATAATAATATACTGTCTGAAAGCAGTGGGGTGGTATTTAGATTTTATTTTGTGAAATTAGTTTCGTTTCAATGAATTTCGACAGTCCGTTTTTGAGTTATGAACATTTAAAAAATTAAACACCGTAGTTTTTGACATTCTTTTTAAAAATTGATCAAAACCAGTAATATATTATAATTATTATTCCGCATGGGTATGTTGTATTCAGTGAACTGCACTGACGGTATATTGATTTATTTTCAAATTAATAGCACCACAGTTCCTGTAACGATTTTTTTTTTTTTTGTTCATTACTATAAATAATAATAATAGTTCTAACGCCACGCACGTGTGATAGAGAGACTCCGGTAAAATTCCTATAGTTTATGGTTATGGATTGTAATAATTTGGTTTGCAAAAATTATTCGGTCGGAAAAACGCTGTAGGTACTCTCATCGCGATGTTTTTATTCTAACGGGAAATACATCGTTTATCGAGTCGCGGTGCGTATTACTCGTATTGTGTAACGAACGCCGAAAAAAAAAAAAAAAAAATCGTATACAACCGAAAATTCAAACATCCGAGCATTGCCATATCTCGTGTCGTATATTATACATGTTATTTACGATAGTTATTCCGCGGAATCAATAGAATTCACAAACGATCGTCAGCTATTTCGCGGGGACGCACGCAGCCGGAAATATAATACGCATTTATTTCGTCGTACAACGCACAATGCGATTGGCCGCCGAGAGCGATTTACACATTGGGACGGATACCGTGGAGAGGGTAATAAATTGCCGCGGAGGCTCAGTTTTCGGCTTTTCGACGATTGATAATGATATTACATTATGTAATTCTATCGGCGAATATTCGCGGTTTTCTCGCAGAACGGTATGTTCGTCGTTTCTACGCTAGCCCGAGGGCCGCGGCGAAATTCTCGGAGTATTATACTGTACAATGGTAATCGAGTTTTTGTTATCGACGCGGAAATTGTGCCCGTTCTGGCGGAATCGATCCGAAGGGGACCGCGAAAAACTGCGAACACACTGGGCACGGTTGCCGTTTTAAATTCCGAGGACAGTGCGACGCGTACTTACGTGTATATTTTGTTTTACTGCGAGCCGCGCTTTTCTCCCACCGCCACCCACGGTTCGTAAACGACTTCGGCCGGAAATTTCGCTCCGATCGAACAACTAAAATATATATCTTTTTTTTTTTTCGTTGCGTTCCGTCGGATATTTTTTCGGGAATTTATTTTAGAAAATAATCCCACACGAGTTAAAAAATATATTCGTTATCATCGGATCGTGTTTATTATTTGATATCATTTCATCATAGGCGTGTACAAACGACGACGGGTTTTTCGGTTTGCCTAATTTTAATACGACGCTTTAGTACAGTGGTTTCCAAGTCGGGGGCGTCGTGGTTAAGTATCAAGGGAACCGCGTCTGTTGCGGCTAGTGTACAGTGGAGTAACGCGGTCCGTTTGTTTGTTTCAATTTGTATTGTCGTCATTGTTCGCGACGGAGCGGTCGTCTCTAATTCGGATTTAAAAATCGCAAGAGCCGCGGACCCGAACGCGTAGAAGAAAACCGCTGCTTCAGTCGGCGCACATATACGCGCATCACGTCACTAGGCGTATTATAAAACCTTCGTATTGAGTACACGCAATCCGGAAATGTAAACGCCGACACTGTATCGGAATGTGCGCGCGCGTTTTCGTATTTTACCGTTCGGCGTTCGACGCGGCCCGGGACCGCGACGAGAACGGGTCCGAAACGGCGCTCGGGCGACGAGGATAACCGCCGCCGCCGTACAGTCTGCGCTGCTCTCCGCAGAGTGTATTTTATTATATTGTCGAGATCGGCCCCCGGGTTATTTACTCGTCGAACCCGTTTCCAGCGGGAATGATATTATTAGACACACGACAACAACGCCGTACGAAAGACGCGCGTTTATACGCAATATTATTATTGTTATTGTTATTATTATTATCGTCGTCGCCGTCGTCGTCGCCGTCGTCGTCGCCGTCGTCTTCGTTTTTGTTTTTGCAGCGGCCCGGCGTTACTTCTTCCCCGCGGCCACGACAACGATCGCGCGACGTTATTATACTACAACACGGTACATGCACGCATAGCGTGTACAGTAAGACGCGCATATAGATCATCGTAATATTATAATATACACGTATGGAAACCCGTATACAAATCGTCGGCTCGGATCGTCCTCGTCCCGGAAAGATACGATATTTTAGCGTATTATTATTATTATTATTATTATTATTATAGAACACGTCCGTTTGGCCCTTCCATTCCGCGCCCGCTGTAATATAATAAAGCTTTCAAACACACGCGCACAGCACCGTCGCACGTGCTCGCCCCGGGAGTTTGAGCGAAAATACAGAGACACGATCCCTATAATAATAATAATAATAATGACGGTAATATCACGATGACGATTTCTTCTTCTTATCTTACGTATACATACATACACACTTACACAAAAGGCCAAACCCGTCTGACTGCTGTACGTCGAGCGCTTTTTCTCCCCGTATACTTAGTACGCGAATCCGTAGAGTTTAAACACAAATAACTAAATTTATAGACGCGAATATTTACGAGGGCCGTACAAAAGTTTTTCCGAAAAAATCGCCGCACGGAAAATTCACCGCAATTTAAGTTTTCGATTTTTTTTTTTTTTTTTTATTCAACACTTCTTTTCTTTACGTTTCGTTGTTTTTAATAAACTACTGTTTTCAATATAATGCCATTCTAAACGCTGCGCGATTTATGTTCCTCGAAATATAATTTTGTTACGCCTTGCGTCTGTCAGACGGAGACAACACATGCGGGTAGGGACATTCGTTTAATCAACAAATTAAAGACGTGCTCGCGTCCCTCATAATATTTTTAATCGATACTTTGTAAAGAATAAATCTTCAGCAATAATTACGGCCGTGTCGTAACGTTGTCCAGTTTATTGGATTGCCGAAAAAAAACCAAAATCAAAACTTAGTACAAATACAATATAGTTTTCGGATATTTCACGAAAATTGACAATATTTCCGCGTACCTATATAGAACTATTCAAATTCCACGGCACAGTCCGTGAAATACTTATATTTTCTCAATAAAAATGACTTACTTTTCAGAATCATATAATATTCTAAAATGTTACGATTTGATTGATTTCCGTCAACCCGTTGACGAGATATTCCACTTTTAAGTTTGGTAAGGGGAGAGTAGACGAGTACCTACTATTAAAATGCCGCCCTCCGAAAGATACTCTACAAATCTCCTTCTACCCAAAACTTAAAAACGGAATATTTCGTTAACGAGTTCACGTAAATAAAACATTTTAACACTGAAATATATTTGAATCGATATTCCATCTATTTATGGAATTTTTAATATACCTAGGTATTGTCATTTTAGAATACAAGATTCCAAAAAAGTATTTAAATAAAGAATTTTTTTATTTATTCATTAAATAAATATTCCATTTTTTATTTTAAGGTAAAACGCAATTTAAATGATCCTGTAATAACTTTTTAGACCGTGACATTATTTGCAGCATTTCGTCTATGGCACGAAATCCAAACATTGATAATGTTTAAGATTTAATTGATTTTTATGTCTGTAAACAATTTTTCTACCTAAAACTCTCGAGCCAATCAAAAACATTATTGTAGCATCAATTTTGTTCTAGTAATTGCGTCGAAGAGGTAATTTATTCATTTTCCTCTTTATTTGCTTAGTAAATGGAAAAAAAATGGTGTTTTTTGTAAAATTTGTATCGATGTTTGGGTTATCTCGGGAACTGGGAAAAAATACAACTAATATTACTCTGTTCTAAATCGTTTTTCACGAACAATGTTTTTCGTCACGTACAGATTTAAACTAAATTACTCTGTATATCCTTACCACCAATTTCTCTCCTACAATAGAGGTACACCCATCAGTAATATAGCATTTTTATTATATAAAACAGTCGCGTTCACCGGACAACACTATACGGGCAAACGCCCCGGGACTCGACCGGATACCTAATAATAATATTACGGTCGATCGAAAATTATTAGCTGACAACATAACAGTAGCTGTAAACTGTTATATAACACACCCGCAGCAAGACTATCTGACCCGAATGATCTTGGGTTTTCGTGTGTTGACCTATCGCGTTAAAGCTTCACCGTACATAGTACAATAATATTTTACAGTATTATATAAAGTGTCCCGTCGTGGACACATTTCGCGCCTCCCTTTGGACCAAAATATGTGCTCAAACTTTGTACGAGGATTCATGAATTGGTAAAAGTCAGGTTGAATATCAATATGTAGGAGTTCAACTCCAACCACTAAAAAATAAAGCAGTGTTTTTGTGAATGCAATAGTTTTTATAAAAAAATTTGATATAAAAAAACCACAGTAATAAAATGAAAATGTGTTAGTAAATGAGTGTTAACATATTTTATGACTTACTACAACTCTCTGACAGATGAATCGCCTAAGAAGAATTTCAAGCAAAGCCAGAAGACGGTAGTTACATTATTTTTATTATAGTGTCTGCTTTTAAATTCTGAGTATAGCGAAGAGTATATTCGTTTCACAAAGATGTTTGTTGTTATTTCTTTTTTATACACTGTGTGCATAAATTATACCAAAAATCTTGCTCCGAAGTATCAAGTTTAACACCTTTTCTGAAAGGGAATTCTCCTGAGGTGGTATTTAGATAAGTCATTTAAGGATTTACTCATGAGTATTCTCAATAAATGGGAAAAACGAAAAAAATACACGAAATATAGATATTAGTAAAAAATATATTACTGCCTTTTTCCCCCCTTGTTCCCTATTGTTGACAAAGCAACACTATTAATCGAACTGATTATACAGATATACATTAAATTTCCCATTTACCTTCCCATCTTCTCACCTATAACAGTAATCCATCCACGTGCGAAGTATGTCCGTATTTTTTAAATTTATACTAGCTATACTTTTTAAGACAAATTTTTTCCAACCATTTTTCATAACAATTGGGAAGAACTGGAAAAAACTTTTTTTTTTGTTAGCAAATGTTTCTTACAGATGTAAATTAAATAACTTTTTATATAATACCTCCCAAACTTCTTACCTACCAAGGTCGTGTACCCATCAGTAGTATTAACTCTCTTTTTTTTCTTTTTTTTCTTTTCTTTGAGAGTTGTATCTCCATTACTTTAATATTACAATATATTCCACAAAATGACAGGATTTGTGAATTTTCCACGCGTGTAGATCACACGCTACTACCGGTGACGACAGGTGAAATGGAGCTCGTCGTCGGCATAGTTTACCGGGCTATTGTTTTCGAATGACTTTTATTACCTTTATAATATATAGGTATCTATTACGTTTTCTTTCGACGTTTTCCCCGTACAAACACATGCCGTTTGAAACGTCGTAATCCTCTAGAGGTTATATCGTACACGGCAGCGCAGTTTGTTTTATTATGTGGGCACGTAATGTATAGACACATGATACTATAATTGTTGTAAGTTTCTGGACGTTATAATTTGTGTAACCACACTAGGGGGTTAGGGAATCAAACACCTCCCAACATTTTTAATGTAGGTATATGTTTAAGATAATATAACAAAGACTAACTACAAGTTCATGTATTAAAAATATGTTAACCCCCTCCCCCCTTGCCACCAGAAATTTGATCTTGAATACGTGCTTGCTACGTTACTGAAAACCGAAAACCTTCACCGATTATATTATTATTTCGAACACCGCCAATTAAATACGGATTTCAAAGGCGACGAGTGAGTTCTACACCGCTAATAATTTACCAGTAATTACGAAAATCTCGGGGCCAAACTTTTCGGGGAAAAACTTTTCAAAAATGCGGGTCGTATTTTACGGCCGGAACACGCGTGTGATTGTCGGGTTTTAATTTATAATTCCATCGGTTCGACTACTACAATTTATAATAATATTTCAGCGCAATATTTTCGCGGCGTTTTCGACATATTATTTGACAGGTATCGTTATATAGCATTATTATTGCTATTTCCGGTGGCGCGCGGGGATTATCTTCAAAACAATAATACAGTTTACGGTGGCACGCTACCGATTTTAAATTACTATAGCTGCCGTCCACACAGGTTGAAAAATCTAGAGGGTTCGGTGCAACACAAAGACGAGTCCACTTTTCGAAATTTCGTTTAGAAGTAAGAAAACACCAGACGCAGGTAAAATACATTTTAAAAGTATTCAGTATAAATATTCGAATACGTTAAAAAATAGAATTCAGAATATTTTAAGAAAACACAATGCCAAAAAAAAAAAAATGAAACGTTAGATTCCGGATTATTTAAGATAATAATATATGTATAAATAAATACTACGATGATAGGTAACGTCATATTATGCGTCATATTTAACTGTATGGAATTTCGAAAAATATTTTAAATCAAGAACCATCGGATGGAAACCACAGATCTTATAATATATCGTAACGCTTGAATAAATATAAGCGTTTTTACTAATTAAAAAAGTGTTCTAAGAGAAAACAAAGAACACACCTGAAAGTTAAGTGTTAAACGCTTAAAATAAGGCTGAGAAAAGTATTTTTTTTTTAAATAAAACATTTTTAACACTTCCTGGAATTCAGTATTGAATACTTCTGAAAAATGTAACTGTAAAATATTCAGAATAATTATAAGAAATTCTGAATTCAATGTTCAGAAACCTAATTCAGAACATTAGCTTTTTCTGAATAAACAAAAAGATTTATCTACGGAACCTGTTTTCTTATATTTTAAAATTTTGTTGGATCAGATAAATCATCATAAATATTCGTTCCGTATTAGACGAGCTTGTATTATTGTTGAAACAGCAGCGGAGGGGTTAACTACTCCCCCTTAAGAGCAAATAAAAATTGTTTATAGGTATTATATTATAGGTACTTATTATTTAGTGTTATCAAATGTTTTAAGAAAAAACGGGAAAATGTAAAAAATAGAGGTATTAGTTAAATAATATATGATAATGATACGGCTTTTTTTTTCTGTGTACAACTTTTCTAGCAGCAATTTTGGTCCGATTTAAATACAATTAAAGCACTTATTTGAAAAGAAATCTGACTGGGGTAGTACTAGGGAGGTAATTTATTGATTTTCTCAGGAGTTTTCCTAATAAATGGGAAAAACCGGGAAAAAATATGGGAAAACCGGGAGAACGGGAAAATAGATACAATATTAAATAAATATTAATAAAAAAAGTGTTTAATGCATATGTAACCATTTCACCACAATATAACATATATACTGTTGATAAATTAACACTATAATAACCGAACTCCATTTAGAATTGTTCTTTCATTAGCAATGGTTAATAGTAAACAACGGTTTATAAATGTACATTTATTTACCGTCTATAACGTTTATAACCTACCTTTCCAACTTCCTACCAACAACAGTGGCTGCGCCCGTCCCCATTATCTTATTGGACAGCTTTTGTTAATTACAATATGCCCAAATGAATGAACCTATTTTGATCGTAAAAACAAGAATTTACAATCGCTATAATATATACTTAGATATTTTACTATAAACTGTTCATTAATATGAATATGTCATTTTACAACAATTATTAATGTTCGGGTATACAGATATATACTATATTTGATCAACGATCACAAAAAAATATTGCGGGATTATTACGGCTTGGTTATTTTCTCAATAAACAAAAATTATTGAATTACCCCAGTTGGTTGAATTATCAAATAATTTAAAAAATCATATAAATTAATAATAATGATAATTAACTGCTTTGAACTTCGTAAAGATTTTCATATTCTTTTTAATTATTAGCACCTATATAATATGTGTTTGATTACTAGCAGAAAAATGTTTCTAATATTTTTTCTAAACTTTAGATCAAGGTTGAATGTACGCCACTGCGCATCAAATTCTGGAACATTTATTGCTTTATTCGAAACTATCAAAAAGTCATTAAGGACTTGCCTGGTTGTTACACTGAGTCCTTCAATGAATTAGATTATGTTTACGACTTTCTGTATATTATATAATATACAGTCCACCCATGTCTTTTAAAAGACTAAATTTTTAACACACATAAAATATATATGTGTTTAATAATACCTATTTATGTATACATATATGTTTTTAATCAGTTTAATCGCTTTTAAAATGGGACTTCCTCGCTCGTAACGACCACATTAAATAATGATAAAATTTTTCTCCCCTCCCTGCTATAACCAATAGATAAGAAACTAAAACAGTGCAATTTTCGAAGTTTAAGGAAAAATTACCGATAAAAGCTCTAGTTTAAAATTTTACTTTCATATTCGAACCATTGTAACTTATATAATAATAAACCGTAAAATAATCGGTCGAGTAGTTTTCGAGTCGGTGCCTTTTATTAATATAGTTTAACGCGATAAATATTGATCAGGTGTTTTTTTTTTTCATAGTTGATGTTCGAAAAACTGACACGAAAAAAAAGTAATCGTTTCGATACTTTATCATTGTTATACAATAATAATAATATAATAATAACATTATTATTATGCAGACGAGTCCGGGCCAACAAGCGTCTTTTTGACGGGCACCGATGAGAGACCGAGCGTATTTACATTTTCACCGTATCCCCCGAGGACCTATTTTATCGTTTATACCTACCTTATATTCCGAATTTTAACTACAGTTGGCGTTTCTACTCGTCTATCATCACGACAGGGAGTTCGTAGCGAAAATACTTAAGGTATACGGTGCACCTGCTTCTCATTCTTATATGCACAAGGAAAAGGATAAAGATGGTCAAAAACCCGCAAACAAAACTGTATTCAAACAAATAGCAAACAATAATTCCGTAATAGAAAAACTTGTCATTTTGAAAAAAGGGAGACTGGTGCATGGTATTATTAGTTTTTGTACTGTTTGTGGGGAAAGAAGTCGAGTAAAACTATCGAAAATGGTTGCACAAATTCATACAAATAGAGTATTAAAATCTGTCATGAATAAAATAATGATAACTCAGATATTTTCATGATAGGAGCTGACAAAATTTGTCTCCGACCCCCAACCTTTGTTTTGACTTTGAAATTATTGTCATACAAATTCATACAAATGAAGTACAAAATATCCTCCCAAAAATGCTGATGAAATTCACTGGTCGGAAGAACCTCGATTAAAAAATCAATTAAATATCGTTTATTATCTGAAAATGTTATAAAACTGTTTGTAATTCCATTGAAAAATATAAGTGTCAACTATGAATGTCGACTCTGGTGGCTTTAACGCGTTTCTCATAAAATTAGTTTCGTGATTGATTTATGTTAAAGAAGTCGATTGTTCAGCATATGCAATATACCAATATACTGTGCGGGTCTATTTTCAACTTCCTAAGAGATTTGTTCAACTACTATAGTGAAAATGTTTCCAAAGAACTTTGCTATATGTAATCATAGTTGAAATTTGCAATATAACATATCGGTCATAGTGTCACTAGATTTTCTTCCGTTCACAGTGATTATTTCCCTGCAGTCAGCTGCCACACGTTTCTTCAGAACTTTCCTAAAAAATTCAACTGCGTTCAAATCCCTTCAGCGTCCAGACAAACAGACGCAAGCTCAAGGCTCTTTTTGAACTAAAAGTTATATGTATTGATTGGTTAATGTGGTTCGATTGTTCAAAGGAAATTGAAATTCAATATAAAATATAATGTTTTATTTATACTAATTTGTGGCGCACACGATTCGCCGCCACCGTCCTTGAATATAAAAGATAAAATTCGTACTTACGCAATTGTAGTTCGCCTTTCACGTATAAACAATTTTTTTTATTTGAATTCATAGAATGTACCTACTCAAATGCAAACATTAATTTACTCCGCCCCTCCCAACAAATAAAATGTTTGCTCAGTTTAGGCTATTAAATAATTATAAGACTAGTCTGGTTGTTATTATTATTATTATTTTTTTTTTTTTACCTTCGTC